ATATATATATATATATATATATATATATATATATTTGCTACAAAATAGCTACATATTGCTACAAAAAAATTATATTACTATTACTGCCACTTTATAATTTTTTCCAAGGTGCGTAGCGTACGAGCGCTGTTGTTAGGAAATTTAAAAAGTGGTGCTAAAGTAAATAAATTCTAATATGGAAGTTACAATTTTCCTCTTATAAGCTCTTTTTTTCTTTTTTTTTTTTAATTAGAACTTCGATTCTCCATATTTTGCGTCTATATTTATTTTAAAATATTAAGCCTGCCAACTGCTCCGCTTTCGGCAAAAGATTTTATAAGGCTGTAGCAAGTAAGAACAAAATTTTACTTAATCGCGTTAAATTTCGCCACCACTTTAAAAGGCTATCTAAGAAATAAATGAAATAAAGCGTCATGTTATTAAAATATTTAAATGTTAAGGTGAGCAACAAAGATTTGAAAGAAATTTAATGACCCAGGAATCAACCGAAATGACATTCTATTACAAGCAAGTTATCATTTTCATTAGCATTAAATACAAACGTAACTAAAACATTTTGTTTTCGTACTTTTACAATCACTTTTAAAATGTTTTATAGACTGTAAGATTCCTGTTTAATGCTTCAATAATGGCTAAACCTAAAAAGTGGTCTATATATAAAAAGTTCCATTACGAGAAAAGAGGTAGTTCATATTTGTTACAGGGACTGCCACAGGCGACTATAAATGCAAAAAGTGGTAGAAACTTAATTCATTTTTATTTATTATAAGCTCTTTAGTTAGACAATAGTAACTACCACTAAGACTTAAATTTCAAATTATTCATATTTAAAGTAAAAGCATTCTTCGAATTCAGTTTTAATAGTAAACTTGAAAAAATATGTTACAAAAAGTTGCTAATTTTAATCTCTCTTAACCGGTTAACGCCCAGCGTCTTATATTTAGGACAGTTCCTTTATCAAAGACACTCATTGTGATGGGAAACTTATTTCAGTATTTTCATTTACCTGGGTGAATTAAAATATTTTCAGATACCATGATGATTTAGTTATTTCTGATTAGATCAAGAATTATAAGGAGCAAGTACTTTTTGCATAGTTGATAAAGCTATATATTTAGGCTTAACCATTAATAAAAAACTGACCTGGTCTGACCATGTAAATAACATTAAAAATAAAGTATATGCAGCAACCAACAAANGGAAAAAACAATTAATTTCAATAATATATTATACCACGTTTTCCATAAAACCACTTTTTGTATCATTTCATTATATAAATTCTGTACAAAACAGATTAATAAAACTTTGAAATCGATTAGTCACCACTATTTACATTTTTAGTCGCCCGTGGCAACCCTGTGTTTACACAAAGATGAATTTTCCGTGCTTTGATTTATATCATTGATACTTTGCTGTAGATAGAACTACCTTGTTGACCGTCTTTTGAGGATGGTTCTTTTTTTCCTACAAAAAAGTATTCCCGAATAATTTAAGGAAAATAATAGATTAACCCCTCCCGGAAACCAGCTATTAATGAAACTGTTTTGCCAACCAGTTTTTCTTCATTTCAATCTCGTTTTTACCACTGTTCCAGAATGTGACCACCTTGGCTAGGCACCAAAAGAACATAATCAGTTGGTTTTTTCATTAAAGCGCTCTATAACACTTTGTTCTTACTATTTGAAATCTTTACTTTTACATGAATTATATGCTTTTTTTTCTAGTGGGGAAAGTGGTAGCGGCAAAACATATTCTTCAATGTTGCTGCTACGGCAACTGTTTGATGTTGCCGGTGGTGGGCCGGAGACGGATGCCTTCAAGCATCTGGCTGCAGCCTTTACAGTGCTCAGGTCACTGGGCAGTGCCAAAACTGCCAACAACTCTGAATCTAGTCGAATCGTAAGTATTTCATTTCCCCCTCATATTAATCGAAATTAAATCAGCTCAACTATATATAACCATGATTACAGTCGAACCTCGTTAAAGCGAAATCGGAAGGGACTATCATAATTATTTCATGTTAACCGAATTTTGTTTTATCCGATACATCATGAAAACAATTTATTACTTATTATTAATGCATGTTATGTACTACATTATGAACCAAGCAAATTAAAATAAGCTTAAAAGTTTTAACAACTTTATAAAATAATTTTATTTATTTGCCCATCTGCTACTTCTAACAAAGAAAGAAAATAGAAAAAGCCTCAAAATGAAATAATTGGGATTTTATTCACATGCTTATTATTTTTGCAGTGTCCAGTTTCCCTTCATGTTAACACGTTGAATGCCACGTTAGTTTTACATGGCTTGCTCGTCTGGCCATTCGGTAAATAACTACAAACTAAATTTGCAAATATTAGACAGATTTTGCTAGTTTATGAAAAGGTTTAGCATGATATATTCTGAAATGAGAGTGCATGATTCTAAGAAAAGTGGTGAATTATAAAAGTCCACGAATTCTTTAGAAATAGTGGTGGATAAAAATCTACTAAATTGAATTTATTAAACCAGGAATCGCAATTGATAAACTACCACATGAAAATATTTATTCGCTGTACGGAGCAAGTTGACATCTCTGTGTGTATATAAATAAAACTATTTTTGCGCGTTCTGTAATTTCTTCAAACCATTTTAGTAACGATAATAATATTTAAAAAAATTTTAAAAATTTACTCGAATTATGTGTTTTTAATAATCTTGGCTTCACCGGTGACCCCTGTGGAGCTTCGAACAAACTCAGTGCCGGTCGGTCTCTGGTGACCCCCATGGCATTCAACGTGTTAAGCGATGATCAGCTGGAAAACTTACTGTTCAATATGTAAAATACAACAATAATTGATTGCTGGCTCACGAAACTAAACATGTGTTTCATGTAAAGTGATATTTCACATTAAGCGGTTTCGCGTTAATGACGTTCGACTGCATTGAGTCGCACGAAACTAAATGAGACGCAGACAATACTTTGCGTTTAAAGATCACGACAGCCAATTCTTACGTTAGTAAAATTGTATAAAATATCCCGTACATTGTGTACACGAATTAAAGTGCCTAGTTGATGAAGGTTCTAAGTGATATCCTAGAAAAAATTTGTTTAAATTTGTTAAATTGCGTTTAAAGATCACGACAGCCAATTCTTACGTTAGTAAAATTGTATAAAATATCCCGTACATTGTGTACACGAATTAAAGTGCCTAGTTGATGAAGGTTCTAAGTGATATCCTAGAAAAAATTTGAAGGTTCTCAGAGAAAATCTTATTTTGATCTTATTTAAATAAACAAGCGGAATTTAATTTTGCCACATCTTTAAATTCCACCGACCTCACCTGATGAAGGTACCGAGAAACAGTCTTTGAATGTTTTTAGAGTGGAAGAAGGTTTCAAGTGCAATTAACAACAAACAGTCACGCATCGATTTTTCATCAATTTAAGAGCTTAGTAGATGAAGGTAGTGCGAAATGATATTTTAAAAAAAATTCTGCACAAGATATCTTAATTTGGTCTTATTTAACTTCATAATTTCATTTGGTCATGTCTTTAAATTTTGATGATCCCAGTGGATTGAGTTACCAATTAACAATCTTTGAGTGTTTTTAAAGTAGAAGGCTCAAGGTGCATTTAACAACAAAATTGAAGTATTGATTTTTCAATGATTGAAGAACTTAGTGAATAAAGGTTTTAAATGATACTTAAAATAAAAATAATAAATAAATAAATTTTAAAAAGTGAGAATTTTTAAAGAAATCTCTTAAGAGACCGCTATACCCCTATTGAAACTCTTCATCGCAAAATTTCTTTCACCTAAATAACTTTTTTTTAAAAAAGAAAAATAATATTAAAAAAAAGTAAGTTCTGGTAAAACATAGAGTAAACCATGAAGTTTCGAATGCTGTAAAAATGCTGTCAAATTATGAAAATGTTAAAAATTTATTGCATGATACTTTTTTTTAAAAAAGAAAAATTATATTAAAAAAAAGTAAGTTCTGGTAAAACATAGAGTAAACCATGAAGTTTCAAATGCTGTACGAATGTTGTCAAATTATCAAAATGTTAATAATTTATTGCATGATACTTTCCTCACCGCATAATCCTGGCATAACTTGTTTGGATTTTGACATTTCGAAAGCATTTCTTCATCATCCGAAACTTCTTGGTTATTCTTCGTAGTTTTACCTGAACTTACTTTTCTCTAAACTTTTTCTTTTTTAAAAGAAGGAAAGAAAAAGAAGGAATGAAAAAAAAAAAATAGGTGGTGTACTAAGTATTAAGTTGTACTAAGATATTTTAAGTTGGCCAGATTTCAAAATTTAGATGACCTCAGAGGATGATGATTCCAAGTAAAATATTTGAGCGATTTTAAAGTTAAAGAAGGTTTTTAGTGCATATGAACCGAAATTTGAAATAATTTCTCTATATGAATAGCTGCTCATTTTGAAAAATTACAACAATCATCTAAAGTCGTTGATTTTCTTTTTAATAAAAAAAGAAAGAAATTGAATTTAATCAAGTGATTACAGTTTCGGCGATAATTGCAAACCTACCATCAAAACAAATTGACAATGATGATTAATATAGCCCTCTTCTTCAAAACAGAAAGATCATTACATTGTCAATGACATTGAATTAACCATGGATCATTAAAATTATAATTTGTCGGTACTTTTATTTAAAGCTTTAGTGATATTCTTAAATAAAGAAACGATTATCCCGTATCATTTTGGCAAAATAAATCGTCGAATCAAAGCATTATTTTAGACACCAGGAAAATTGCAATGCCTGAGCAGACCATTATCTCGAGTTTTAATTAATGGATTAAAGTGTAACAGGCGTGGTACGCAAATTGAACGCAAGTTTTTTTTATTAATCGGTTTTGCAGACCTCTCCTCCCCCCCTACTTGTTTTTTGGTGTAATTCATTATACCCATAATACGCCATGAAGAAATTGAAAAAAAAATCGTAGATCATCGACTTTGATCGGAAGAATACCTAAATAAGCTAATTTAAATTTAAATTGCTGTTTATTAATTGTTATCCGTGATCGCTGCTTGGCACAAATTTATATTGTTATTGATGATAGGATAAATCCATTTATTATAAGAAGATGACAGTATAGATCTTGTTTCTTGTGAGACACTTTTGAACTATAGATCCACTTTACTTGAGACAATTTTTACAGTCAAAGTTCTAATCTGCATCTAAATTAGATGAAAGAAGATTTTACATCATGTGAGACACGTTTCAACGATACATTAATTTTACTCCGTACAATTGTTTTCGTCTCCGTTCTATCTAAAACAGACATTATTTATCGTGAAACTTAAACTTCATATCCAATTTACTAAGTGTAATTGTTACAGTTTCAGCTATAAACTGCTTTAAAATTCGATAAAAAAAGATTAATTAAAAAAAAAAAGTTTCAAGTATCAATTCATTTTACTAAGTGCAAATGTTACAGTTTCTGCTCTACTCTTGGATTAGAGACCATGATTTCTGCGAGAAACTTCAAAAAGTAGTATTTAAAATTATAACTATCTTGTTTTAGTCTGATTTTTTAATCCGAAAAACATTCAAAAATATATAATAGCTTTTTTTATTTGCTCGTAACATTGTTTCTTTGATGTATATTTAATCTTAATTTATAGATATGTAAACTTTAACTGAAAAATGAAAATTATCAAATTAATTCTGCTTTCAAAATTTCTAAAATTGTACTCCTAACCATAAAATTTCGCAAAAAAATATTAAACGAAATAAACGTTAAAGGAAAGCATGCTGGTCAATAATTGTTTTTTTTATTTATTTAATTATTCTAGTTATTTTATTTTGAACGTTTGGAGTGCCTTAACGAGTAAGTTAAATTCAAAATTAGTTAGCAAGACGCACGGAAAAATTGGTGGGCTTATGGTTTTTATTAAGACTGGTCACAGATTTTCACAATTTCATAACCACATTGAACAAAACGTTTCCTCCACATCTGAAAATATGACACAATTATATCAAAGTAAAATTATTCTCAATTTTTCTGTAGTTTAATTCAATGAATGGGAAAAACTATTTAAATATTAATTCATCTTTTCCAAACGCTTGTACTTTTCAACCTTTTCAGATCGAAGAAGAATTTTTATCTTTCTTTCGAAATATGTAATTTTTTTTTCTTCAGTTATGAGCTACTAACTCCTTCGTATCATAATCCTATGACCCTTAAATCATTAATCACTTTCTTTAAATTGGAAATGAATTTTTTTCCGTCATCTCTCAACACTTTTACCTTGAACGGCAACTTTTTCTCTGGAAACACGACCCGATATTTGTCATCCAACATCTTCTGCATGAAAGATTAAAAAAGTGTCCCCGTGTTGCCTACAATTTAACTATCGTCATATCGATCTTTAATGACCGATACGGATTCCATGCGGGGCTCCGGCTGCGTTCCTTCGAATCAATCATGGGGAGGCTCTCAATTCGGTTCATTTAATAATTATTGAGCACCAGTAATTAAGCCGTGAGTTATACTACACCTTTCTGGTTTTTACCGAGCCTCCAGTCACCCGAAAGATGACAATGACATACGTGCTGGAGGTTGAGTCAGCACATCAGATGAATACAAATAAACGAAAGACCAATAAATGAAAACAACTTTGATTTGGAAATTGGCAAAAGAAATCTTATTCGGAATGCTTAGGGACAGGAACTCCGGCTTCTGGTCATTGGCTCTGAGAGAACCTCAGGGCACGTCAATCAAATGGATACGCCCATCACTTACTAAGAACCAATCCAATCAAAATACCATTTCGGCGTGGGCGACGAGTTTAAGAGAAATTGCTGAAAATTAATATTTAGTAACTGTTTATCAGGTGGACGTTTTTTTTCTTTCTTTTTTTTTAAAGATGGTACCGGAAGACTCCGCAGATAGTGGTCATGGTATCTGCGGTTGATATCATGAAGATATACGCCCTTGTGTTCATTATAATACTTATACATTTTGAGAAGCTTTTAAACGCTGACTCTTGGGGGGGGGGAATTATTCTTAAATCTTAGAACGATGATTATATATCTGGTACTTGACCGTAAAGCTCATAGCCATCAGAATCCCGTTAATCGACGGGTTTCAAGGTTTGTGCATTCGATGGTTCGCAGAAGTAAACAAAAAGAAATTTATAACAATCACATACGTGAATTTTTTTTTTCATCTTAGAATTAAACTCTTATGAAGATAAAAAAAAAAAGTTAGAAGTTTTCAACTTCATATTTAGGATTTTATAATTCATCCTGATTATGCGCGTAGATATAATTTTAAAAATCGTTTAGTGCCTGAAATTACAGTTTTTATTTTCCAGTTGGCTGTAGTATACAATAGTTACAGTGCTGGCAGTTGTCGTAGTCAGTAGTAGTATACAAAAAAGAATTTATAACAATCACATTTCTGAGTTCTATCATTTTAGAATCAGCCGCATTCTTTAGTGTGATATCTGTCCCCTTAAAAATTGTCCCTGGCTTCTTTTTTTTTCCATCTTCTTTTTTTTAAAGCACTTTTTTAGATTTGTGTCTCTCAGGATTTAACCATTTGATACGGAGAATGTTAGAAGACTCTTCAACAGGATGATTTTTTAGATCGTTTATCAGCAGATTTCAAGGTTTATCCAGTTGGTGACATAAATACATAAAAAGAAACTCATAGTAATCGATTTCGTGAATTTTTTCAGCCTTGAAATTTGAATCATGCTTCTAAAAATAATTAAATAAGAATCAAAGCATTTTCTATTTGATATTTTCCAAGGTTCTACATTTGATTCTGGAAATGCGAGAAGGACTTTCAACAATATATTTTTTTAAAAAATCATTCATCGGGTTTATGCAGCTAAGGTTTAGCAAAAGCATGCGAAAAGAAATATATAACAAACAAATCAGAGTTATATGCTTCCCTAAAAATGTGAGAAGAACTTTTCATATACCTTATTGTTAAAATGATGTGAGATAAGCTTAGAATTTGCTCCCTAATTCCCCCACCACTGAAATTAATTCAGAGTTGTTTATATACCGAAACTGGTAATGGGACCATTTCTTACCTAGCTTGTTTTTGGGTACCTTGACTACCAAGACATATCAAAAGTTATAACGCACATGCGTGATTGTTTCTACCATGAAAAATAATTGTTGTAAGTCTTGGTAATCACGGATATTTATCCCTTATGCGAAAACAAGCTGGAAAGAAGATGATCTATCGTGAAAAAAAAATCCATCATGAAGCACTTGCGTTGTTTTTTCAATTGCACGGCAGAATAAGTTACTTTGGCCCTTTATATTTACGTTTCAATTATTGATATGTAGTGGTCTACAAAATTCTCAAAATTCGAATTCAATAAAGGAAAAAAAAAGAAATATTTTACTTCTGCTACCATTGAAAAAAAAAAATTCCTGATACTACGGAAATTCCGTAGTAGTTGGAGGACATGTTCACAGGGCCTAGTGTCAAATTTCCTATGGATATAATGTAGCTATATTGTTAAAATAATCTGTAAAACCTAGAGTTTTTTTTTTTTTGGACCGTTTTTTCAGAAAATAAATAAATAAGTACTAGAACAAGTGTTTTATTATTGTGATTTATACAAACAAGTGATTTCGATCTAGTTTAATAATATTAAGTCTACCGGAAATTTCTGTCCGCGAAAGTGCACGCCTCATTTTACATTAATGCAAAAGGTTTTTTTTGCGAATGAAAGTGCAAGGGTAATTACTGTTAAACTAAATGGTAATGTTCTAGCTTAAAGGGCATGTGCAAACATATTCCCACTTGTTACGAAAGTTTCTGTCAGAACGAGGAAAATCGAAGTATGAGAATAAAAAGGGGAACTGAATTTTTTGATTTTCGTCCAAATATCTCGATTCGGTAATATCTTTCAAAACATTCGAGATATACAGGGGGTGGATAAAACAATGGAAACACATCTATACTAACTCATCTTTTCATATATTTCTCAAGAAATACTTAGAAAACTATTTTAAGTGTTTAGGTTATGCGATTTCTTATACGTATCAATAAAGTTTAAAGCTTTTAGGGGTTTGAGGGACCGGTAACAAATTGCGAAGTTTTTGAACACCCTATGCCAAAAAAGACAGTGATATGCTTGCAACTTATGTCAATAAAAAACTAATTTTTTTGATTTACGTTTTTTTACTATATCTTTTGAAATATTCAACAGCATCAAAACAAAACTTTTAAAGTAATTTTTACTAGATGAAAATATCATTTTAAAATTTGAAGGAAAAAAATTCGTTAAAAATTGCGCAAAACATAAGTATTTAAAGCAATCCTTTTATACTGCTCTTGCGCATAAAACATTTAAATTTTTATTTCTTCATAAATTTGCTTTGAATGATATTTGATAATTTCTAAAAGCCGTCCGATTCGAATATCTTGAAAATGTAAAAAGTTTCTAGCGATTTTATAAGAAGTTTTTGTAAAAATTGGGAAAAAAAAGTTCTGAATGGTAAGGGGTTTTCCACAAATTTAATTTTGTACTATAAACAAGATTTATTAAAAATAACATCGATATTATATAGGACCACACCTATTAAATAACGCTTTATTTCATATGTTTTATTTCCTATTAACATCGCATTTCGTTGCCTGGATCATCATTTTAGGATGTTATCATTGGTTATTAAATTTTGTTTTATATTGCAAAATGGTATTTGTGGAAAACCCTTCATTATTTATAGCTTTAATTTAAGAAAAAAAGTACAAAAGCTACTAAGAAATTTACAAGAAACTTTTTACATTTTCCGGATTTTCAAACCGTTTTTTTTTTTTTTTTTTTTTTTTTTTTTTTTTTTTTTTTTTTNTTTTTTTTTTTTTTTTTTTTCCTGCACTGAGTTGCCAAATACGATTCTAAATAATATTATGAAAAAATTATGTTCTCCGCGCATTGACTGTCTCGTTAAACCCCTAAAAGCTTTAAACTTTTTAGATATGTATGAGAAATTGCATAACCTTAATACTTATAAAGTTTTAAAATAATTTTCTGAATATTTATTGAGAAATGTGAAAAAATGAGTTAGCATAGAAGCGTTTCCATTATTTTTTCCCACCCCTGTAAAATTGTTTCCCATCTAGAGTCGGTGGAATGAAATAATGCGATTTTTTAAGGAATTCCTTTTTTCTGACAAAATTTTACCTGTATAGTTTTGCACGCTGCATTTTCAGAAATGTAGTTTAGCACCTTCATACCAAGCAAAAAAAGTAACATTTGAAAAATTTAAGCGCAGACAAATGTACAGTATTAAATTACTTATGCAAAATCCCTAAATGCATATGGGGAAATTCAAAAAGTACGTACACAAAAATGGAGAAATTTTAACACCCTCCCCTCCTTCGTACATTACCGTACATAAGGTCTTACCCCCCCCCCCCCTTAGAGTACGCACATTTTATTAGTCTACCCCCTTTTTCATGAAAATTAAAATAATTATCTTTTAAATAAAATTAAATATTTATTTAAAATGATTTATTCATCAAAGTAAAATTTGAATTTGGTGTATGCTTATAATGTACGTACTTTGCATAATACCTCCCCCCTCCCCATCGTACAAAACCATACAAAATAGCAAATCCCCTCCCTCCCCCTTCGGGATGTATGTACATTTTGAACGGCCCCTAATTATATCGTTTGAACTCTTATAGAAAAAAAAAACTTCGTTGTAGTTTTAAGGTATCGAACACTATTTTTCTCAATATCACGGATAGAATCCCCTATGTCCCACAAATTTATTATGAACAAGAAGCATCGTTAACAAAGAGAATCTCAATGAATAAAGACGTTTTTCCAAAAGATCCCAGTTCTGCTAATTATCAGAGTAAAGTACTGATAATTAGAACATTTCTTTTCAACAAAGAAAACTATTTTTAACTACTACTATTTATTTTTTTAGCAGCAAGTAATTAAGTAATGTATTAAGTAATAGCGCCCAACCTATAAACGGGTGTGATGTATGGGTGTTGCGAAAAGTCGACTTCTTGGCCATAGATGGCGCCACTAGAAAGCAAGACCAATCGCATCCCCACTGCCTTAATGGCCGGTGACAACAATAACATTAAGTAATAGCAGTCATGGATAGTTTACTTCATTTGAAATAAATTAATAGATTAAATGTTTTTATTTAGTAGCACTTAATATTTTCTAAAAATTGTCTGCTCTCTGAGCTTCCGAATATTTTTACTATCCTATATTTATATTTCTATAATTATTATTTTTAATTCACTAGTCACTTTTCCCATCATTGTGGGTAGACCATTAAAAGGTTGTTATGATATTTAGTGGTCAAAATGTAACTAGATTAAATGTCATTTTTAGGGTCACTTTATCGAAGTGCAAGTAACAGATGGAGCTCTGTATCGAACCAAAATACACTGCTACTTCTTGGATCAGGTAAGTTAGGATCACTTTTTCGAATCAAGTTTTTTTCCAACTTTTATTTCATTTTTTTTTTTTCTTTCTTATTTTTTCTCTTTTGGGAAAAAAATCCATTGACTTTAAATGTCATCTTAGTCTCATTTGTTTTTTTAATTTAGTTTTTATTGCATTGGTTAATAGGTTTTTAGTTTGTAATAGCAATAGTATTATCTTTATAAGCTGAAATGCTATTGAAGTATCTATAAAATATAATTTTAGCGTTTTTGTTTAAATTAAGACGTTGTGTGGAAATGACAAGTCAGCAATGAAGATAATTTTAAAAAAAATATGGTTGAAAATTTAGGTGGATGCAGTTTATTAATTCTCGTTTTAGTAATTTTTAAAGAATTTTAAATGTAAAATTTATTTTAGGATACTTTTTACTTTTACCTAGTATAATATTTTTACCTAGAATGGTATTCTTTACAGTTACCTAGTAAACATGCACATTTCTAGAAACTTATACAGGAAAATAACAGCTGCGGAAAATCTAAGTCGGCATTTAAGTACATGAGTGACTATCACTACATATTTCTTCGGAAATATATCTGTTTAATAATTCTAAGCGGACTTATCTTTAAAGTTGTATCTTAACCCTTTAATGGGCCCTTTATTTCTAGTAAAGGTAAATTAAAGTTTTTTTGGAATTGAAATTGTTTTAAGAACAGTATTTGATATAAAAAAAAAACTCATTTAGTTTATAAAAATGCCATTTTTTTGGTGGTAAATATATTTAACATGACCTATTAGGAACTTACTGACTTTTATTTTTCTTTATTTATAAAATAAATTCCTTAAATGTTGCAAACTTCAAAAGGAATTATGTATTTTATAACTTATATACGCTTTTTAAAAGTGACAAATGGTTTCCAATTTTATTCAAACTCACTTCAAGAAAGCTGAAGTTATTGAAAAATGGAAACCTAAATTAAAAGTGGTAAAACGTGGTGGTAAGTATATGAAAAGGGTTAAAAAAGGACAGAAAAAGAAATACATTCACTGCGTAAATCTTGAATTTATTACTACAAGATTTTTTTTTATATATATAACTTTATTCCGTTTATTTTTCAAGGACTATAGAATCCTGTTCAATCAATATCGAAAAGTAAAATCAAAAATTGCAGAAAACTAATGTTTAGAGCAGTGTTTCCCAACGTGGGGCCCATGCCCCACTGGGGGGCAATTTGATTGTTAAGGGGGGCAATTCGAAAATGGACTCGACTAGAATTTTACCCATTTGCTCCGGAACATTTAAATACAATGTTAGATTTCGGTGCCAAAATTGAGAGAGAGAAAAGTAAATTCTTAAATAATTGCGGTCAATAAATATTATAAATTCGTTTGATGAGACCAAAATATCAACTTGGGTTTTTGGCGTCGTCAAGTTAACTAACCTATGCAGTTGTTCGCATCTGAATGGCCCGTCGCAACTTCTGTAGTGTTTCGCAACATTCAGTGATAGAAATCAATACCATAGTATGTCTTTTATGCCTGCNTATATATATATATATATATATATTGCAATCCTAAAGTATGATTTCAAAATTGCTGGTATAGAAAAAAATTATTAACCTCCAACGCCCATTTTGGTCAATCCCAATATTGCATGGGTAATAATGGCACCATTTTTAAACGCTTCAGGCATAATTCTTCAAATTACGAAAAAAGTTTTGCTATTAAAAATCATCCAAAACATTTGCCAAAAAAAAGAGTGTTAATATCAAGTTATTATAGAAGTGTTCACGTTATTTTGTCCTACACGTGTATGTTAATTTTAGAGAGAATCATGAAAAACATGGTTTTTATGATGGCGTTTAAGAACTATATTGTTCTAATTTGTTCAGCCTTTTCAGTTATACATTTTAATGTTAATTATTTTGTTTGCAGACACGGGTCATACGTTTGCTTCCTAATGAGAAGAACTACCACATATTTTACCAAATGTTGGCTGGTCTCACTCAAGAAGAACGCGGTAAGTATGCCAATAAAAAAAAAATTTCGGTACATTTCTTTGTTTGAAGTGATACTGCTTTTTTTTAAATTCAGGAGTTTGAAATCATTTGAGAACATAAACATGAAGTGGACTCTTTTTAACTCAAAGGTGAATAGTTTGAAGAGGCCTTAATCCCCTTTAAATTTTAAATTTGAATTCGAAACCTGAGCTGTAGCAGATCTTAACTGTGCAAACGATTATTTTAAATTACTAAACTGAAACATAGACGTACTTTTTTAGAACTTTTTTTGATGGATTTAAATTCTTCAGCTCTTGGAATATAGGGAGGGGGTGACATTGAAACATTGTGTATTCCTCATCATTAATATATCAATTCAGTGGGTGTGCAGCTTCAAATGTATAGTTCCGAAGGCTAACTGCGTTTCATCTAATTCAGGAGTTTGGGAGCAAATATCGTGGCATGTTCTAAATAAAAAGAGAATGTTATAAAGAGGAAGTTTTATATGATTTTTACTTGCGAGTTTAGTACTTGATCATTTGAATCAACTCAGAAACGTGACCAAATAACAGAGGTAGTCAACAAGTTTCACCAAACTAAAATTTTTACAACAGATATGTGGTTATTTTGACTTGTCTTCAATTCAATTTATGCATTCTTTTTTCAGCACAACTAAGTCTTGCTGGTTATTCCTTACATAATCTTTGTTACCTAAATCAAGGGGATATAACACAGAATGAAAGTGAAGATGCATCCAGATTCGAGGCCTGGAAGGTAAACTCTTCTTTCCAATACCTTTTTAATCTAAATGAAAATTTTAGTGCTTAGTGCAATAGTTGTACTCGTCTTCTGGGGAAAATACCACTGTAAAATTTAAAGTGCTTACCAATATTGGAGAAAATTACTTTCATTTCCTTCGTTTCAGCTACTTATTCTTCCTAATGAGTAGCTTTTAATAATCAGATTTACCGGGTCCGATATCGCTGGTAGAATATGACAAACTTACTGTAATAGGATTAAATCTGACAGTAATAGAGGGAATTTGATAAACACGGGTAGTAATAACTTTTTGCCTCTTTTTACTGCATTTTATTTCCCCAGACAAATAAACTGGCTTCGACCAAACTTCGCAGCTACTAATGATATAATTCACTTTTACAGAAAGTAGACATGCATAATTACTTTAAAAGAATATCGTATCAGTAACCATCATTCAAAAGAGAACATAACAAAGCGTAGTGGCAAACATTTAGGAGAGGCGGAACAACATAAAGATAAAAAATTACTTAGTATCTTATGACCAGAAACGTCAAAGGAAGGCTGTAGGAGATCTGAAAGGGTACAAGAGAGTGATTAATTGGAAACATTTATTGTAAATCATGTGTTTAAGTAGCTCATTCAATTAATACAGTTCATAATTTTACAACATTTTCTCCTATTTTGCGTCATTAAATGATAAACATGCCTATTCCTGACACTGTTAAATACACAGGGAGTTTCTTTGATGGCAGCAGCAATGCAATTGAGTCTTTTTGAAGAATCCACAGATATACGATAACTTTGAGAACTCTTCAAAGGAAGAAATTATGGCTGGATAAATCAGGAGAACACGGGAGCCACCTATCAGTACCTTTGTAGTACTTTTAGGCACGCCATGACAGTTATGAGATGCGGGGCACCACTTAGTGGTCCACAATGAATTGGCCAATCATGGGATGTTCGTTCGTACGTTGTAGTGGAGCTGGGCGTTTGAGGCCTTACGGCTCTTTTTCCATTCATCCTGAAATTAGGCTAAAAAACATGCATGACTAAAATAAAGTTTGGTGAGCAAAATGGAGTTCGTGAGAGAAAAAAATGGCACTTTGACATTATTAGGTAATAACAAAATTGCAAGTAATAAAAAAGTACACGAAAAAAGGTAAAATTAAAGTACAATGAGAGAATAAACGCTGATGAATATTTACAGTTTGGAAATACATACAAAAGGTTAAAGGAATGTGAGGATGTGTGTATTTGTGTAAGTAAGTGTGGTTCTGTTAAAGTAGAGACCCGGCAGTCCTGGTAATTACCACTACCTAACATGGGTTGTTATGTAATTCTCAGTCTTTATAATGTGGCTCTAAATTTTAAGAACTGGTAACTATATTTCTTAGTCTCCTTTATTTTGAGTAGTATGGTGAAGGATATGAGCCAGTTAAAAAATATTTCCTAGTAAAAATCATTTTGTACAAATAACTCATTTTAGAAAGAAAAAAAAAAGAGTACTAAAATAATTGAAAATCATTTGTTGTTCTAGTCCTGCCTCTCAGTCTTGGGTATCCCGTCCATGGATGTTGTACGAGTACTGGCTGCTATACTGCTGTTAGGAAACATACAATTTGTGGATGGAACGGGAATGGAAGTCGATGTCAAAGGTGGAAATGGTATGTGTCTGGAGCCTATTTTAAGAATTTTTGTTAGCTTTCTAAATCATCATGGATATTTTATTAAAATGCAACATACTTTTAAATTGTTTTTTGTTACCATTTTGTTTACCATTGTCTCCGACGACGTAAAATATTTAAAACCATTTTTAAGTAATTTTTTTAAGTCTGCTTTTCATCAAAGTCTACGAAAATTAAAAAAATTGTAGATGAATTTTTTTTTTTAATTTATTCTCTTTTAAGATGTCTCTTTACCATTCATCCACTTGGATGAAAACTTTTTTTTTAATTATTGTCTATTTAAAAACCTCATTATCTATGATTAAAAAAATTGAACTTATTATGTATAATTATTATCTGTTTATGAGGCTACTTCACTATCTTCTATCATGACAATGGTGAAGAGACAAAACTGCAATTTTGATAGTTTTTGTCTCTTCATCATTGTTTTTAACGATGAAAAAATTTGAAGCTATTTTTTAAATTGTTGAATATTTAGAAACCTCTTCATCATTGTCTATGATGATTAAAAAATTTGATGCTATTTTCATATTGTCGACTTTTTGAATTTAGACAGGGACATTTCTTTTCTAGAATATATATATATATATTTTAATGCCTTTATGTTTTTTCGTGAGATTATGTCTTAATTTCAATTTAAAACATTAATAGTTCTTCTTCTTTTACCACATTAAATTATTCACATATTTACACAGTTTTTTTTCCCTTTTTCTTTAGCTGAACTAAAGGCTGTTGCAACTCTTCTTGGAGTATCTAGTGTGGCACTTTTCAGGGGCTTAACGACACGAACTCACAATGTTCGAGGACAACTAGTGAAGTCTCTTTGTGATGCCAAACTTGTAAGCATAACACATTTCACGAATTAAAAAGTCTCTTAAAATTACCGACTATTTAAAGACTAATTAAAGAAGAAAACAGAAGGAGATGTGTGCGCATTGCTGCGTTCTACTTAGAAAGTCAAGTTTTTTTTATTTTCACCAAGTTACAAACTACAAAGTTCGTCAACAATTGGAGTTGCTGACTAAATAAGACAATAAAAACAATGTCTTCTGCTGCATTTTAGACCATATTGGCTATTAGTTCGGACATTAGTTATTTTTGTCCTCAGTCTACGATACGACCCTTTGCTTTTTTAAATTTTGGTTATTATTAAAACATTGTTTTATAGTTTTTCCAATCTGCAGCGCAACCTGTTGATGAACTTTGAAACTAAATCCTGGTGATAATAAATTTTATGGTTTATTAAGCAGGACGTTTCTTATATCTTTAATTGATTTTTTGAAATTTTTAGTCCGTTTTGGAAACATAGAAAATGAAATTCTAACATGAAAAAACTATCTTTAAAATATATAAGAACAGCATTATTGACTCATATACAGGGATAAGGGAAAAATTAGGAAACACGTTTATACTAATTCTATGTAAACAATCTTTCTTTTACTAGTAAATGTTTTGGCAGATTTTATGAGGCAAAATTGTTCGCACAGTTATGAAAAATCATGCATGACAGACTTTTATAAATCATGTCATTTTTACCCATGCAAAATTGGAATCGACCAAAATAAGGAGAGCGAATTAATAACTTATTTTAAGCTTTAATGCTAGCAATCTTAAAACTTTGTATATAGAATTGCGATATTTATAGTCCTTTGCCAAATTATTAGACGCACTATAAGATTCTGTCGTATCTTTTCTTTCGTGTCGGATATCTTCGGATTTCTTCGTGATATTTCGTTGTTTGAAAATATTATAGCATTAATGAGAGCCTTTACTGCAGCTTTTTTTACATAGTGAAAATGTTCCGATTGTTTATTTAAACACTGTACACAAAATAAACAAATATCTGCAAAGTATAAAACTACGAAACAAATAAGCACAGCGCATAAAGCCACAAGAACGCGTCCGTAACTGACGCACGCGCAGGAACGCGACTGAAACATGTTTGAGCTTGTTTACGTTCGTGTATCAATCGTTTAACATTGTAATGCAATACATTAAAAATAAATACAAGTAGGAAGTACAATAAAAAAATCTCCTGAATGAAAATCCATTACATGTATGTTTAAATATAAGAGAAATTGCATACAAACTCGTGCAAAACATGTAGTTATTAAAAAACTACAGTGCGTCTAATAATAAACAACCCGATATTATTAAATATATAAAAATAAATAGAATGAATTGGATGGCCCACGAGATTCGAATGAGTGATGACAATACAATAAAAAAGAGATTGCTTTTTAAACCCACTGGAACAAGAAAGCGGGGAAGGCCGCGGTTGAGATGGGCTGACTTGGTGGAGTCTGATTTTCTTGCAATTAATTTTATTTTATAACCGTCGTTGAACAGCCGACCCAATTTCATGGGTTAGCCAGTGATGTTTGACTTCATTGATCTGCTGGGAACCGTGCCTTAACGATCAGTTCACTGAGGGNTGAGGATATTTCACGTCAGCACTGTGGTCGGTGCAAGTCTGGTGCGGAATTCGTATCGATTGGGATTCAAACCCGGAGAACGCTGTATCCCCTGAGCCATCGCGGCTCTTCTTGCAATTAATGAAAAGAATTGGAGATCAAAGATAAATCGAAAGTCATTATGGAGAAATCGTCAAAGGAAGGCACTGGCCCACATTGGGCTGTCTGGCCAACTATGATGTTGATGATGGGTTTAATAATTTAGCCAGAGATTGTATGTAAGAGGGCTTTTAAAATGATAGTATTACTAAACAAGGGGAAAACTAAGGTTTCCAACTTCCTATTTTCATTTTGGTCAATGTTAATTTTGCATGGGTAAAAAGGACACCATTTCTAAAAACTTCTAGCATGATCTTTCAAATTGTGCCAATAGTTTTGCCGTGTAAGATCTTTCAAAACCTTTGCTGTTAAAAGAAATATTGTTTACATAGAGTTAGTACAGAAGTGTTTCCATATTTTTGTCCCACATGTGTTGTTAATTATTAACTTTTAAATAACGTATTCTTTTACATATTGTTATTCAAACATTCTAAATGATTATGTTCCTAGGCCACCTCCACTCGGGACGCCTTGTCCAAAGCTCTGTACTGCCGAACTGTTGCAACAATAGTCAGAAGAGCTAACAGTTTGAAAAGACTTGGATCCACATCCGGGACATTGAGTTCAGACAGCAATGAATCTGTCCATAACCAAACAGGTGATTAGTTAATAATTGAAAATAATTCTTTTACTAATACAATAACTAATTGTAGTACAGAGCAAGCCATCAAGACCTATGTAGGCAAAATGGTTTTTGGGAGTCAGTATTTCTTTAAAATTTACACTTACTCTAACAATTCAACTTTTCACTGACAGAAATAGATCGAATTTTATGAGCTTTACTGGAACAGCTAGAAATCCATGAATCTTTACACTAACTGGAATAGTCCATTTACAGCTTACGAAATTTTTTATTAGTGCGTAAATTTAAAATTCGTGACAGTTTATTGGAACAGTTCGATTTTTGGAGAACTTTACATTTGCCAGCTAGTTTAAATGTTATGAAGCATTATACTAACAAAAACAGTATAAATGTCTTGAAACTTTAAATTAATTGTTAACAGTGCTTTTATAATGGTATAAATATAAATTCAGAAGTGCTACTGCTCCGTTTTCTGTAAAAGTGTTAATAAATTATTTACGAATTAAATAGTAACAAGTGTAGAATAAGGATAAAAACTTTTTAAAAATATCACCACGAAATAACTGCAATAAAATTGCATTTAATATGATATTTTTAATTTTTGATGTCATGTAGTGATGGAAAAATGCTAACCGGGTTTAGCTCTTTTTGCAGTCGAGATACCAACTTTCAGCCTTAGTTATTTGCACATTTGCAAAGTTATTCCGATTTATGGTAATATTTAAAATGGTAGTAAGTTTTATGATTTAACGCTTTGTTATTGATTAAACAGAGATTTAATTTAAAATGATTTCACCCACCACTACCAACAAACAATTTAAACGTGCCTAGATAAAACCTATTAATTGGGTATAATATAGCCTATGTCACAGGTTGTGTTGTTCCTACTAAATTTAACCCATGAACGGCATTTTCTGCGAGCCTAACTTCAAGCCACAAATAAACAAACGAAGTGTTTGATCGTTTAAATAGCTGCTCNGTACATATCAAATCATGTTTTATCTTTATTTTTAATTTAAGTCTACAATCAATATTTCTAGTGTTAAGCAAAAACGTCAATTTGTCATATTAAATTTTTTCATTGTTTTATTAATTCACAAGCAAACGGCTTGATTTTTTTTAATGGCTACCACAATGTATTCGAATGAACTTCAATGTATGTCATAATTAAATGTGTGCTAGTTAAAATATAGAAATTTAATGAGTGAAATATGTATCAATTTATGTTAATATTTATTTATGTCAACTTATGTATATATATATGTCAAATTATGTTTATATTTATATATGTTTACTTAGATTCGATGAATCAGATATTCAAATGTTATATTTACTCAAGCAAAGTGCTTGTTTTTCTATTAGCTACCACATCGACTGCTAAATTCAAACTGTCATTACTATAAATTTTCTGTAAATTTCTAAATGCATACCTGCCAACTTTTAATCCCTTCCATTATAATTTTTCCCAGTGGTATTTAAATGGAATTAAAATTTCAATTTTAAGCAAAAAAATAAGTTGTATTTGAAAACAATTAAGCTGACAGCCATGATAAGTACCGCATATAAATATATGTGCTTAATTTTTTTAAGAATAGTGGTGATCAAAATCATTTAAAAATTAAGTTTATAAAAGAAAAAATAGTATATATTTACTACCACTTTAAATATGAAAATAAAATTTTACGCCAAATGCCTAAAAGTTGGCAGGTATGTAGATGTATGGGATAGGGGCCGCTAAGTGGGCCAGGTGCTCAATTTTTGTAAATAAAGTAAGATATGTCATGCTGAACCTTTTAAAAAACTAGCAAAATCTGTTATTTGCAAATTTAGTTTGCAGTTATTTACCGTGTGGCCAGACGGGCAAGCCATGTAAAATTAGCGTGGCATTCAATGTTTTAAACTTTTCAGTACAGAAATAGATCGAATTTTATGAGTTTTACTGGAAGAGCTAGAATTCCATGAATCTTTACACTAACTGGAATAGTCCATACGCAACTTGCGAAATTTTTTATTAGTGCGTAAATTTAAAATTCGTGACGATTTATTAGAACAGTTTTTTGGGAAACTTTACATTTGCTAGCTACAGTGCTTTTGTAATAGTATTATTAAAAATTCAAGAATGCTACTGCTCCGTTTTGTGCAAAAGTGTTAATAAATTAGTGACTAATTAAATAATAACAATTGTAGAATTATGATAATTGCGCCAACCTTTTTAAAAATATCCCCACGAGATAATTGCAATAAAGTTGCATTTAATATAATATTTTTAATTTTTGATGCTATGTAGTGATGGAAAAACGGCTTAAATGGAGAAATGCTTACCAGGTTTAACTCTTTTAGCAGTTGTGATATCAACGTTCAGCCCTAGTTATTAGCACTTTTGCCAAGTTATTCCGATTTATGGTAATATTAAAGTGGTAGTAAGTCTTATGATTTAACGTTTTATTATTTATTTAATTTAAAATGATTTCACCTACCACTGTATATAAACAATTTAAACATACATAGATAAAACCTATTAATGATGTGAAGAAGTATTTGAATGCTAGCTAAATAAAATAACCTAAGAATTTAAAATGGCAGTTAAATTTTTTGCTGTCATGTTTGATCCTGATACGTAGAATTATTATTGGATAAACGAATTTTACAGTTGTGTGCAAATATTTTTAAATTCGCTTTAAAAAAAAATCTCGAGACATGATGGCGATATACCCAAAAAGTAAAATTAACATTAAGGGGCCCAAACTTTGGATCGCATTCCTGATCAAACTATGGGGACCCTGTTTCCCAGATTGCCTCTACCTCCGATATTTTGAAGGTCAGAAATCCAAATCAGTCGAAAAGAAGACATATTTATTCAAAAAAAGTACGTTTTTGTTTCTGATTTCGCAGCTTAAAATATCGTCAGCACTAACTAATTAGCATATTTCTGGTTCAAACCATTTGAAATGAGTCCTAGAACGTGCAAATCTGATCATTAGATCAAAAGTTATTTAAAATAATCCGTTTTTTTTTTTTTTTTTTTTAACCCTTAAGCGCACTGTACATTAGGACCGGCTAGTATCTTATTCTGTTTTAAGTGATGGCGGAAAAAAAATCTGCAGCATTTATTTTCAATATCACTTCAATAATTAATTCACTACCATTAGGAAAAACTTTTCTGAAGAGCGTAAAAATCACATTACAAGTTTTTATTTGTTTAGTGATACAAATATTCTTAAAGACAGCTTGACTTGGCGTCATCTTTTATATTATTTATCAACGTTATCATTAATATGAGCTTATCTGGGCGGCTGCCGTGGACTGGACTGGCCATGCTTTCATACGTATAACAGCACACTTGTCGCAGTTTGGTGACTCCTCAATCAAATAAACCTTCTAAATATTGAATTTAGTAACTTCGTAGTTTGTATTTGTTAAAGTAGATAAATTTCTGAAACATTATTTAACTCTCCATTGTAAAATTATTTGTTTATTATGTTTCAGAAAACAGCAGTCAGCATGCATCAACGCTAGGATCTGGTGGTGTGAAAGCCTCTAAGTCAATGACAGTGCTCAATTCAGCTGTGAGGCATGCAACGGATGGTTTCATCGGTATACTCGACATGTTTGGATTTGAAGCCAGCAAAGTAAGCTAATATTGGTCAGGCCAGTTCAGGGGGGAGTGGTCAGTGTTATCCGAAAATGTACACTCTCTAAATTAAACTCTCACTTTTGATGATTCAGCAATCCTTGAGCTGTATCGTTGAGCTTCATCGCGAAATTACGTGATTTATGACAAAGCGTGAACTCTAAAATATATGACGAAAAAACTTCCTCATCGCTGTGCATTGTGGGAGATTTTGAACTATAATGATTAAACTGGAATGGAGACTAGATGATCGAAAATAAAGTGACGAAATAAGCCGACCGACCTGTATCCTGGTCAAGCAGTTGGCTTCGTACCAGCTAGATCGTGGGTTCGAATCCCGCTTCGGACATAAGTGGAAGTTATCTGTCTTTCTTGCGATGTGTGGGTAAAATTGATCCATCTATATGGTGCCCATGATAAAGTAATTATTAGAAAATTAAATTAAAATTAGTTTTGCGTGGAGCAGAAAGCAGGAAACGGCTTAGTCAAAACCGAAGAAAGTTTCGTGAAATTTGAGCATCCATTTTTTACACTGATTCTTTAACATTTGCAGTTATGAAAAAGTTAATTTCGTTTTGAACAACCCATTTCCGGAACAGTTTGTATTTGTAGTTTTATTTACGTCGCACTAGAGCTGCACAATGGGCTATTGGCGACGGTCCGAGAAACGTCCCTGAGGATGATCCGAAGACATGCCATCTCCGTCTTGATTCTCTGCGGAGGGGATGGCACCCCCGCTTCGGTAGTCCAACGACCTGCGCGCTAAGTCGAGCACTTTACGGTTGAACAGTTTAACGAGGACCCATACCGCACATCCTCGATCCCTTCATAGACTGATCCAAGTGGCCACCCACCCGCACACTGACCTCAGCCAGTGATGCTTGACTTCGGTGTTCTACTGGGAACCGTGTCTTAACGACCAGTCCACTGCGGGACCATTTCCGGAACAGCAAAATGTCAATTATAAATTTTAGTCAGGCAGAACATTAACACGCACGACATTAGAACGGTAGATTCTAAATGAAACGACATACTTTAGCTTCTTGTTATTTAAAGAATGGCGGTTGATACAGGCTTCAAAGCAATTGATTATATGCTTCTAGTGGTCTGCAACAATTTTTGAATTAGTGCTGCCAAACTGGATACACTGCGCTGGAAAGGGTTAATGGGTTAATCTCGATTATCCTTGATTGTTATACTACTTTATTTCAAAACATGAAGATGTCATACCACATTTAATGTGATTCCTTTAGTGTTCACTATTTTGTTCTCTGATTGCAGCCAAGTCACTTAGAGCACTTGTGCATCAATTTGTGCGCTGAGACTCTGCAGCATTTCTACAACACCCACGTGTTCAAAAGTAGCATAGAGTCTTGTCGAGAGGAAGGGGTGCAGAGTGATCTGCAGGTAGACTACGTTGATAACGTTCCATGCATAGACCTCATTTCATCACTGGTAAGTCATCTTTAAGTAAAGTATGTGCTGAATTAGAAATGTATGGGTTGTTTATATGTAATGCTATTACAATGATGTATATTTGTTGTAGTATTATTACGTACCGAGGATCTTAAAAATAAATATTAATTTTAAAGTTTAACACGTTGAATGCCATGGGGGTCACCGGTGACCGGCACTGAGTTTGTTCGTAGCGCCACGGGGGTCACCGGTGATCGGCGAAGCATAGATTATTAGAAACACATAATGCGAGTAAATTTTTATTTTTTTTAAGTATTATTATCGTTACTAAAATGGTTTGAAGAAATGAATGCAAGTATAGAACACACAAAAATAGTTTTATTTATATACACAGAGATGTCAACTTGCTCCGGACAGCGAATAAATATTTTCAAGTGGTAGTTTATTAATTGTGATTCTTGGTTTAATAAATTCAATTTAGTAGATTTTATCCACCACTATTTCTAAACAATTCGTAGGCTTATATGATTCACCACTTTTTTTCAAAAATGTCATGGTAAACTTTTTAAAAAACTAGCAAAATCTGTTTAATATTTGCAAATTTAGTTAGTAGTTATTTACCGTGTGGCCAGACGAGCAAGCCATGTAAAATTAGCGTGGCTTTCAACGTCTTAATTAAAGAAAAACGAAAGGAGAGAAAAATTGCATGGTTTTCTGCATTCTACTTAGCACTCTCCAAATTTCAAAATTGGCTACTACACGGTTTTTCAACTGGTGTCACTACTATCCGAAAACCATATAACAACTATTAACAAAGTTGTCAAACAATTACAACTGATGAAACTTGGTGAAATTAGATCTGGTTTCCTAAGCAGATTCTCTTTTATGGTTGGACATTTATGAGATAGTTGATAGGAAATCATTGTTTACCCTAAATTGGTTTATTAAGTTTACTGGAAAGAAATGAAGGAATACTATCATTTGTTCTAGTTTTTCCATTCAGAATCCTCATGCAGGCATATATTCTGTAAAAAAAATATTATGTATGCTAGTATAGCGTTGATCAAAAATGTAATAATGTATCTATGTACGTTTTGTTGTCATCACCACTTTTTAAAACGTCTGAAACTATTGAAATTTCTAACACTCTGCTGTTGTAAATGTTTGGACAACTGTGACAGTTTGCTTACAAGTTGAAAGGTCAGAATTAAAAAGTTGTAGCAGTTACAACTGTATGATTAAGTTTTATTCTTTTTAGTCAAAGCAATGCTTACAAGTTCAATACTAAGAAAAACAAATTCAGTTCTTTTTCTTAACTTTAGTTAAAAAGTATTCCAGGTTTTATATTTTAATATTTGAAAAGATACTCCTTTTTTTTTAACGTTCTTGAAAATATTAAAATATTGAGAATTATTGATTTATTTCAAAATTTTTTATCATATAGCTTTAAAAATTGTTATTAAATTGGCAATTTCTTAAAATCTGAAATAACTTTTTAAATGTACTTTTTCTTTTCTTTTTTTGCTAAAAGTTTTTTTTTAGCAATATTGTTTATAAAGTAAAAAGTGTAAGCTGTAGTTTTAAGTATTCAAATAATGACATGAAATTTGTATTATTTTTAATCAGAGGACAGGACTACTGAGTATGTTAGATGTTGAATGCTCAGTGCGAGGTTCACCTGACAGTTATTTGAAGAAAGTGTTAGCCCAACATCATAATAGTCCAAGGTAAGTATTCGTATAAGATAACACATGTGAAAGAAATTAATTTATTTGTGCCCTATGTACTTTTAAAAACATGGCACTTAAAAAGTATTAAAACAAGTGTTTACTTATTAAAACTTACTTTTTAGACATTACAATAGTTGTTTTATATGCCAAAATACATTAACCTTTTCAGATTTGATATGGCACGCTCCGTGCAGGACCAGAAAATTGTTTTAAAGTGGTAGCTAAATTTTGAAAAGCCTACATACTTTAAAATATTAATATCTGCTACAAATATATTGACGAAAAAACCATTACAATTTAAATTCATTAGCTCACATAACTATTAATAACAAATGAGTGCACCGTTTGCCACCTACCTAGGTGTCACTCTTACTAGTTCTTTAAACTGGAATACCCATATTGAAAATATTATTAGCAAAGCGCAAGGAGCCTATAGATCTCTGAAACCAATATTAAACTATNGTTATCGGCATTTTTATGGAGTATATATATGTCCGAAGTCGAGAGTTTGTTCCTCTTATCTCTCAAAACAAAACGAACCCTATACCTCCAATGTATTCGACCGATCATCAGCTACGCAGCCCCTGCATGGAGCACAACCACTGTTAGTCAAAAAAAGAAACTGGAGATCACTCAAAATAAATTCCTCAGATATATCACAGGAGCCCCCAGATCCATGAGAATGAAAGATTTAAGACGAGAGTTAAAAATTAACAAAATAGATGAGCACATAGTTGAACTATGTGCAAGTTTCTTCAGAGATGCACTCTCTTGTCATACGTGCAATTACTTCAANTACAAATATATTGACGAAAAAACCATTACAAATTAAATTCATTAGCTCGCATAATTATTAATAACAAATGAGTACACCGTTTGAATTTTACGAAGTTGATTTGATTTATTACCTATCAAAGGTGAAATTGAGATAATTAGTATTTGTTTTAATCTTATAATATGAAGTATTAAATATTTTAATAAAATCACCATGTTCCCCACGATACCATACCAACCTGTAAGAGGCGAAAATTAAATCCATTCTCTATTGAGCTGCATGAGTTTATTATACTTACATACAGTCTTGATTTTCGACTGTACTATTTTAAATCTCGAAATACTTGAAATTCTACTTATTTAAAAAAACAGACTAGCTTAGTATGATATGAAGCTAATTAATTCGTTCAACTAGGTTTTAATACTTGCCTCTTTGTTCCCTATAGATTCTATGAACAGAAGTCTAGTACAGATGCCAGAATATTTGGTATCAGGCATTTCGCTGGTCGTGTGCCATATGACACGTCGCATTTCTTGGAGACCAACCGTGATGTTGTTCCTGACGATACTGTCTGTGTCTTCCACAAGTCAACCTGCAATTTCGGTTTCGCCACGCACCTCTTTGGAAGTGAACTTAAAGCATTATACTCACAAGGTAAGTCACCTTTGATTGATTTTGAGCAGCCATAGCGGTCAGGGCATCAAGGTTATGGTCAAGACCATTGTGAAGATGGGAGTTCCATCTCTCATGTGGCTGGAAGCCCATCCAAATTTAAACCAATGGGTAAAAGTTTAAGTGGAAAGTAAAGAAAGCCATTGCGCAGTACTGACCACCATGCCGTTGCTCCTGACATTCGATGACATTAAACCCCCATCCCATGGCCAACAACTGGCTGTCGTGAGAGTGCTTTACCTATTTAAAACCATATGATGTGTTACCAGATGAATACTTATCACTTTACTGCGAACTATTTACATCACGTTATAACTTACAACACAGAAAACGTGAGAGCAATCTGAAATGGTTAATCACCTAAGCATCGTATTATCACATTATAAAATCGCTTATGAGCTGCAATAGTGTCACAACTCAAAAAACACGCGTTTTGAACTAAGAACAGGTATAAATTGGAAAATACACATTCTTTTCAGTAGTAATACTAACACAACTCATAATTCAACTTGAAGGTAATCTTCGTTTAAGCAAACTAAAGCATTTCTTATGAAATTTGTTTAGCAATGAAAACTTTAAACCCACTTATCTCAAAATATGATTTTTTGAGTTGTGCCGCTATTGCAGCCCATGAGAGAAATACATTTGAAAGTTAAATCCAAGTACTAATATAGAGTAGATAGTTATAAAATATTATTAATTGTCGTTAAATACCTCATGATTCAAACGATGAGCTTTAGTTGTTTAAAATTTTCGGATATCCGAAGTAGGCTTGAGCTCAACTTCAACGAACAACTTATGTTGTGTGATTTTAATTAGCATACGTGAATGGAACAAATTCATTAGTTTCTAGAAATGCGGTGGAAAAAGTCCACATGTTTCAAGCGCTTATTCTCAAGGTTCATTTCATGTGCATAGCTGCCAACTTTCACTCTTTCCGAGAATGGATTTTCAGTGTGGTTGTAAAACAATAAACGAAAAACAATCTGACTCAAAAATATATTTATATTGGGTTCCCGTTGAAATTCGCTTGAGTAAGGATTATTATGCTTTCCTATATTTATTGTAATTATTTATATGTAGTGGTGGTCAAACTCATTTATAATTATCATTATAATTCAAAAAGTTGATTGGAATAAGCTGAGTATTGCTACCACTTTAAATATGAAAATAAAATCTTCCTGAAAATCCGGAAGAGTTGGCAGGTATGCATGTGAATGTAGTGGAAGCGGAATGGTTCCTCTTTAGTTTTTTTATATCATTCTTTTCGTAAGTTATTATAATAAACAAGTTACTTCGAATGTAGTGGAGGCGGAATGTTTCCTTTTTAGTTTCTTGAAATCATTCATTTCGTAAGTTATTATAATAAACAAGTTACTTCGAAAGTAGTGGAAGCGGAATGTTTCCTCTTTAGTTTCTTGATATCATTCATTTCGTAAGTTAATATAATAAACAAGTTACGTAATTGGTGACTAATTGTAGTACAATTTACAAACTTTTTTTCAAACTTATTTGATATAATCCTAAATACGTTTACTAGCATTTGATTATTACTTGTAATAGAAAAATCGTATAATTTCACGTTTTTTTGTGAATTTCAGAAACGGTTCCTAGAGGAGTTTCATTTCGAATATCTCCTACAGCCCATACAGATCTGTAAGTATCATTTTATTCAACTTTCGATTTAAGCACAGCAGGATTAGGGGAAAAATGATTAAAAGTAACGATAATTACTTGTAAACAAAATATCAATTGTAATGTTAAATCCTCATTAGTCGCAACTGTTTCGCAATATTAGTTGTCATTATGATTACAATCAAAATTGTAAATTATGACTTCTTTTAATAATGCTGAAAATTATGATCGTTAATTTTAATTATTTGACAATTACAAGTTATTGGTTACATTTTTCCCAACACTGATTTAACGGAGATTAGTTAAAAAATGATTCTTCAAAAAGTATTTAAAAAAGTGATTAATCTAATGTATTTCTGTGAACAGGCAAAATGGTGATGAACCAGTTTCAACACTTACTCAGGATTTCCACAGCAGATTGGATAATTTACTCAGAACACTGGTGCACGCAAAACCACATTTTATAAGGTGTATAAAGGTAATTATTATTATATTTCACTATTTTTATATTACAATATTTCAAAAGATGTATTCAAATAATTAAAAAACTAGAATACTAAATTTAGCATATAAAGTGAATAAAGACTATCGATGACTTTTGAACTACATATTTAAAGCATATCTCCAATTAATTCAGAATTTCTGTAGGTTTCAGAAAGTATTTTTACTGTGGTAGCAAAAAATATGTTAATGTATAATGCATACTTCAGAATAACTACTCCAACGACTTCAGAATTTCCATAGCTTCAGAAAATATTTCTACCTTGTAGTTGCAAAGGAAATATATTAATATTCAATGAATACTTCAGAATACTTACTCCAACTACTTCAGAATTTCCGAAGTTTCAGTAAATATTTTTACCTTGTGGTAGCAAAAAAAAAAATATTAATATATAATGCATACTCCAGATTAACTACTCCAACGACTTCAGAATTTCCGCAGTTTCAGAAAATATTTTTATATTGTGGTAGCAAGGGAAATATATTAATATTTAATGAATTACTATTAAAAGAATTTTGAAGGCACATAAATTATTTAAAAGAAATATAAAAAATAAATTAATAAACAAATAGTCATGATTTGAAATTCGGTTTTATAATAATTCTGTTTGTTTTTAAAACTAGTGAGCCCATACAGAATCCATTTTTCTACTTTATATGCACAACCTCCAAAGAGTTAATTTTTTTGAGAAATATATTTCCTACTGGTAGTTAACTAAGGAAATGTTTTTAAAACAAATAGAGTTGCTATGAAATTTTTGTTAGAACTTAAGACGTGGTTATTGATAAATCTGATCTGAATAAATATTTATTAGACACATATATATTTATTATTTATGTGTCTAATTTATTTAAACATAGTGTTGGACAAAATTCATTTAATTATGATTCATTAAAATATTTATGCATGACCTTTGATACCAGCAGACACGAAAATTCCTTAGTAGTCGGAGAATATGCTCTATATATGTATCTTTCGAGTATATATAGGCCTAAGTATGTACAGTGCGCAAAAAAGGACCACCCTGAATAACTTTTGAGGGAGTGACCTTAAATATGCTAATAAAGAAGTGCAGACGATATTTTAAATTACGAAATCAGACACAGAAACGTACTTTCTCAGAATGAACAAGTCTTTTTTCTCGATGGATTTGGATTTCTGACCCACAAAATATAGGGAGTAGCCGCAATATGGGAAATATGGTCCCAATAGTTTGTTTTCAGAAGAGCGCTCCAAAATTTAGACCCCTTAATCATGATTTTACTTTTTGCGTATTTCGTCATGTCTTGAAAATTTTTTGAGAAATTTTTTTGCACTCAATTATAAAAAATTCGTTTATCCTCAAATAATTCCATGCAAAAAAATAGCTTTTAGTAAATATTTATTATTTTTTATTTATATATTTATTATTTTTTATTTATGTACTTCTCATTTTTTATTTTCGAAAAAATTTTTAAACGTAAGGTATAAAGTTTTTTGCATCATTTTAAAGAATATAATCTTTCGAGGAAAAATACAAAATTTGAGCAAAATCGTTCGAATAGTTCTTGAGAAATTGAATTGTAAAAAGTTATATTTTTAAGATTCGATTTCTCAGGAACTATTTGACCAATTTCGCTCAAATTTTGTATTTTGCGATGTAAAATTATATTCTTTAAAATGAGGCAAAAATTGTATGCCTAATTATTCAAAACATTTTCGACTATTAATTAAAGTAATAAATATTTACTAAAAGTTATTTTTGCACGGAATTATCTTTGGATAAACAAATTTTATAATTAAGTGTAAAAAAACTTTTAATTCGCTTAAATAATTCTCGAGATATAGCAAAATACGCAAAAAGTAAAATTAACATTAATTGATCTGAACTTTGGTGCGCTCTTCTGTCAAAACTATTAGGGACATATTTCTCAGTTTGCGACAAACCCCTATATTTTGGGAATCAGAAATCCAAATCCGGCGAAAAACGGTACGTTAATTCAAAGAAAGTACGTTTTTGTTTCTGATTTTGCTATTTTAAATATCATCTGCACTCATTATTTAGCATATTTGAGGTCACCCCCTTGACTCATTAAGATTGAGTCCTAGAACGTGAAAAGTTATTCAGGTGGTCCTTTTCTTGGCGCACTGTACTTGTAATTACATGAAATATTGTCCAAACATATACATATTGGGATTCGCTTATTAATATTCAAACAAAAAAAAAGAAATAAAAACACTATCGATATCTGCCGAATCACTATTGAGGAAGCTGGTTTGAAAAACCTCAAAACCAGTTTGCTTTCCTGAACTTAGAAGTATTTTTAGGAACCGCCTCTCAACTTCTCTCTGTTTTCATCGGTAACCTGGTAGATCTTTTGTCATACCTTCCTTACTAGTAATTCGCTAGATTTCGATATTGTTTTTTTTTTATTTTTTATTTTTTTTTATTTATTATTTCCCTTACCTTACCGATTTTACCTTGCATATATAAACACATTTTAACAATGGAAAATCACATTTTCTAAACATTATAAAAGCAATAAGCAATTTTTAACTGCATTTATAATTAAATTTTACTAGTTGAATAAATTTTTATTCAAATAATTAAAAAAAGGTATAGAATTTGCATTGTAAGCGCAAAGATGCCAACTTCCTCCGGTTTCTGAAAAGGTAGTATATTTCTTTTAGTGGTAGCAAAGTATATGTGTTTATATTATATTTTTGCATTATCCGATTTAAAATAATTTTTCCCAATACTAGGTATAAACAATAGCAACATATATACATAAAATACAACTGTATGTCAGTTATCCATTTGTGAGGCCTCAAACGTAGTTCCAGATTTACTCTTCTTAAAAAATTTAGTGCCAGTTTTATTAAAAGTTAAGCCCAAATAGAGCAGTTGGCATACCTATAAGTAGCGATGAGGCTGTATTAAGGTTTTTTTTAAATATAAAATTTATGAGTAATAATATTATAAGATACAATATTGAATTAAAAGATGTTGAAAAAGAATTGCTTAAACAATTTAGATTCTAAATTCTTTCATTTGTTATGATTTACAGGCGAACAACAATGAGCAACCCAATCATTTTGATAGAGGAGCTGTTGTACAACAAATTAGGGCATTACAAGTTCTAGAAACAGTCAATCTGATGGCTGGAGGTAAGCATATGCTTATTCAATACATTTAAAAAAAATATATGTGTTATATATATTTAAAAAATAGGAAGAAAGGAAAACAATTGGGCGGCCCGCAAAGTGCGTATAGAATATCGATAAGCGGAACTTTCCGAAGTCCGCAAAAATTATTCCAGTGGTAGCAATTTTGAATTTTTTCTCAGTCCGCAACCATTTCGATTTAGATGATATTCATCCAGTATGTATCAGACTTCTATGTATGAAATAAGTATCTTGTGACGATTAAGAAAGTAACAAAACAAGTTCAAAAACAAGTATAGTGTAAATTTTACTACCACTTGAATATTTTTGCGAACCTTTGGGAACTCCGCCTATCCAATATCGGCGCGAACTTCCCAGGCGACTCAATATATCAACTAATGCTAATTTTAATTTATATTCTAGTATATATTTCAGGCCTTCTATTGTATGTTTCTTTCAATATATATATTAATAATTATCGATGAAGTTTGGCTAGTATAGTAGTTTTCCATGTTGTTATTATTAATAGTCACTGGTAATAATTAATAATATTTGCTGGTAATTATTAATATTATTATCACTAATAGCCAAAACTTTTACATTAACCATAATATAGACACGAAAATATCCCATTCGATTTTTTACCATATACATGTTATGCATAAACATAACTAATCAAAACCTCTGGGGGTACTGGATTAAGTTTTACTTAAGTTTTAAAAATTTTGATCATTATTTGACATTAAGGTTATCTCAAGCCAATTGTTCGTTTTCAAAATTAAATAATTTTATTTCTGTTAGTATTAAGGTTGAAGTACTTTAAAGGTATAAATTCCAATCAATATCTTAGATACTATTCTACCCTAGCTTGAATAAATTGTTACCAAATTTTTATTTTTGTTACTTTTAGTGTCTAATTTTTTTTAGTTAAATAACTTCCATGCTTTTTGTAAATTTACTCAACTACAAATTAAACATTGAATTCTTGACATTTGATGTAGATAGATGATAAAGCTATAGTGCTCTAAACAATTAAAGGATATTGTAAGTATTATATAAAATAACGGCATAAGCAATTTTTTTTCTTTTTTGGTTGTTGCATAAAATGGAAGAAGATAGTCACAAATGTAAATTTTTCTTGTTTTCAAACCTCGCCGTATGCAAATTTTGAGTTTCACAGAAACGACGCTTCAGCGGCAGCGACTTTGATTTGGCTTTCAACTTAATGCAAGACAAAGGGGAAAAGAATGATGGACATTCAGTAAGCACGTTGTTTCGATGAGTGCGATGTCTCAACGAAGGCATTTAACCGAATCAGAAGCTTGGAGAGTTATAAGCCGGTTAGAGGGGGGCCAAACGCAAACCGAAGTAGCAGAAGCCATTCCAAGATCTGGAACAGTTTTTCGGAGACTAGAAATGCAGGCCCGAAGATCAGGGCACCAATGAAGCCCGTTATTTAAAGCTAACGGCTCGGAGACACAGAAATATGAATGCCATTTTTCTTCAGCAACACCTTCCCTCGGCTACTCGCACTACAGTTTCGACACGAACTGACCGAAACCACCTTCACGCTATATGCTCGCCGACCTATGTGAACTGGAGGAGAAATGAATGGCGCAATATTATTTTCTCTGATGAGTCCCCTTTTTCTTTTCATCCTGATAATAGAAGTATTTTCATCTGTATGGAACGTGGCACTGGACACAATCCTGTGTTCGTGCACGAAAGTGTAAGATTTGGCAGCGATGGTCTGTGCTGGCATCTAAATTGTTGGGCGCACTGATCTCTATATCATTTAAAATGGGGCTCTGACCGGTCGCCGAAATAGAGATAAGATCCTGAGACCCATTGTAGCCCCATACTCTGCAGCAATCGGAGATGGCTTCATGTTAATGGACGATAATTGCAGGTCACATTGTGCTAACTTGGTGAATGATTGTTTTTGGAGGAAGGAGTCATACGAATGGATTGCCCAGCGTGTTCTCCGGACGTGAACCCAATCGAGTATGTTTGGGACATTCTGGACAGACGATTTACTGGACGCCTACTACCCTCACAAACTCTCCAAGAACTGGAAAGAGCTCTTCCGGAGGAGTGGGACAGAATACCCCACCCCCTCATTATTAACTTCATTGAATGGATGCCTCAAAGATGTTCAACGTTGCTGACCGTCCGGGAGAACCCAAAGACGATTTTCTTTTAAGGAAACACCTTTTTTTATTTGTTTTTCTCATATGTACAAATTGTGTTTTTTTTTTCCTTATGTANGCGTGATTCACAACATTGTAAAAATGGACTTGTAAAGTTTAACTTATTTTAAAAACCTTATTTTTATTAGCCATTTCAAATTTAAAAAAAGTGGCTACTGTGAAAGGTGGCTAGTCACAAAATTTCCTAATTTTGCCCCATAACTGTGTAGTTAAAATGGAGACTTCGATTTCCAAACTTTTCCAACACTCCATTAAAACTAGCAGCGTCTCCTTTTAATGTACTAATCAATATTAATGTCAAATTACAGTCAAACCCCGCTGTAGTGAACACGGTTTATAGTGAACTCCCGGATATAGTGAACAAAATGGTCGTGCCAGTTTTGAAAAGAGAGGAAATTGGATATTATGAAGTTTTTCTGTCATCGACTCATTTTTTTCCCTACATTTTTTTAGTAATTTTGAAATGTCATCTTCAAAATAATTACTTATACTGATTTTTTAAACCGTCTATAGAATAGAATAGTGTTTCCCAAACTTATGACTTTTGTGTACCCTTTCTAAATTTTTCGTAAAGCTGTGTACCACTAATAAAAAAATGAATGCATTTTTTACTATTAAAAAATTGCAAAAAACTTAAAAATCACAACTGGTTTTACACACCACTAATTATATTATATTAGCTGTTAACTCTGCAAAAAATAGCCAATAGAAAAATACGTCATCGTAAATTTTCATGGCTAGCTTTGTTTTTAAATAAAATTTTTTTAAATTTTCGTTTGTTGCAAGATATTTCGCATAAGAACGCGTATCCCCGCTAAACTGTTCCCGTACCCCTGGGGGTACGAGTACCACACTTTGGGAGACACTGCTATAAGTAGCTATGAGACTGTATTAAGGTTTTTTTTAATATAAAATTTGTGAGTAATAACATTATAAGATACAATATTGAATTAAAAGATGTTGAAAAAGAATTTCTCGAACAACTTCGATTCTAAATTCTTTCATTTGTTATGATTTACAGGCGAACAACAATGAGCAACCCAATCATTTTGATAGAGGGGCTGTTGTACAACAAATTAGGGCATTACAAGTTCTAGAAACTGTCAATCTGATGGCTGGAGGTAAGTAATTTTAAAAGCAAATGCTTTTTCAATACATTTTAAGAAATATATGCGTTATATTTATATTTAAAAAAGAGGAAGAATGGAAAACAATTGGGTCGTCTGGAAAGTTCGCACAGATTTTTGATAAGCGGAGCTTTCCTATGTCCGCAAAAATTATTCAAGTGGTAGCAATTTTGAATTTTTTCTAAGTTCGCAACCATTTCGATTTAGATGATATTCATCTAGTATGTATCAGACTTCCATGTATGAAATAAGTTTCCAAATCTTTGTGACGATTAAGAAAATTTAATGATCTATTCTCAAAAACAAGAAATATAATTTATAGTATACATTTTGCTACCACTTGAATATATTTGCGGACCTTTGAGAACTCCGCCTATCCAAAATAGGCACCAACTTTCCTGAAGACTCAATATATCAACTAATACTAATTTTAATTTATATACTAGTATATATTCCAGGCCTTCTATTGTATGTTTATATCCTTTATATATATATCCTTTTTCACCAATTGTTCGTTTTCAAAATTAAATACTTTTATTTTTGTTTAGTATGAAGGCTGAAGTACTTTAAAGGTATAAATTTTATAAATTCCAATCGATATCTTAGATACTATTCTACCCTAGCCTGAATAAATTGTAACCAAATTCTTATTTTTGTTATTTTTAGCATCTTATTTTTTTAGTTAAATAACTTCTATATTTTTTTGTAAATTTACTCAGCTGCAAATTAAGCATTGAATTCTTGACACTTGATGTAGATGGATGATAAAGCTACACTGCTCAAAACAATTAAAGGATAAAGCAGTATAAGCAATTTGTTTATTTTTTTTGTATAAAATGGAAGAAGATAGTCACAAATGGAAAATTTTCTTATTTTCAAACATTGCAATATGCAAATTTTGAGTTTGACGTCGAAGACGACTTCTTTAACGGCAGCGAATTTGATTTGGCTTTCAATTTAACGCCCTTCCTTCTCGCTCCCGTGAAAATGACGGGGTGAGATTTCGTCCGCTATTTCTCGCTCCCGTGATATTGACGGGCTGGAGTGTTCAGTAGTAACGCGCCAGTCAGAATTTTGTAAGTAAGTGTAAGCTAATTCATTTCTTTTGCCCGAAAAACATTTTATTTCTCATTTTACACACCTGATGGCAGAACCAGGATATTTTTAAGGTAATTGTAGATAGTTAGTTTATTTTAAACTAGTTGCAGCACTAATCAAATACGTAATACAAATACAAAAGTCAAAAAAATAGGAACTTTTATGACCGTTTTCTTGAAAATTAACCAATCGTTAAGGGGTTAATGTAAGAGACTAAGTGGAAAAGAATGATCGACTTTCAATAAGCGCTTTCTTTAGATGAGGGCCTTGATTTAAGCAAAACATTTGGGTCAACTCTAACTTACCCAGTTGTATCTGATTTTAAAAGTATACTGTTTATTGACTAATTAGAAATAAAATTATTAAAGCCTCATATTTCCTTTGTTTACTTGAACTCTGTGGTGCCTTGATTACTTGATCTTAGAAATATACTGTATGTTGGCAGTATTTTAAAAATGTTATTTATTTATTTACTTATTTTTAGGTTTTCCTCATCGAATGAGGTTTAAGGCTTTTAACATAAGGTATCGTTTGATCGCACCTTTTAAGAAACTAAAACGAACCGATGACAAAGCCATTGAGGATTGCAAAGTAAGTATCTTTCTTACATGCCCCATTTTAGTTCATTTAAGTTGAGAATTTTAGCGTAAATAGTCAACATTTTTATCGATTTCTGTGTATGCTGTGTATGTTAAAAGACGGCTCCTTTAACAAGTTAAGAAGCAAATAAATTAGAAATGCGTGATTCCTTCACGTGTCATGTTTAGTTACATTGCATCTACTTAAAATCGTTGCTGTTCCAGCTGCTCTGGATATAAATATTTCCTAATGTTACTAAAAATTAATCTGGAAAAGTAACACGAAACTATTTTTAAAATTTTCCGGTACTTTGGAAAAGTTGTATCTGTAAAACTTTTTAAATTTTCAAGCCTAAACATATTATGTATTGCATAATACTAGTTATGTTTCTTGATAGTTATGAGCAGTGCCAAAAGTATGCCTTAAATATACAAAATATATGATGTGTTTTGTGTACATACGAATAATACCGATATTTTTTTAATTTTTACTGTGAGTATTATGTACGTGTAGTGAATCCGCCCTTGATAAAAAAAATTTTAGAGTCCTTGTTAAAAATAAAGTTTAAGAGGTTGTTAAGCTTTACATGTTTAGGATCAAAAGTTAATATGTGACCGAGGAAAAAAACAAAAACGTTGTCGAAACGTCATTATTATCATTATTGATGACATGACAGCCCCGGGTGGGCCTTGACCTTCTCTAGAAGATTTTTCCTGTCCACTTTTTGGTAGGCAGTTGTCCAGTTCTTTATTTTGATTTCAGAAAAAGTCTTGTTCTAAACAGTCGGTCCATCATTTTTCTTTCTTTCTTTTTTGATCTGTCTCTTAAATTTTTCTTACAGGGAATGGTGTTGAAAACTTTCAAGGCAAATCTACCCCAGACCATTCTTAGCAGATGGCCTATCCATCTAGCTCTGTTTAGTCTGATTGAGTTTACGATGTCATCATTTTATCTAACTTGTATAATTCAAAGTTGTATCTTTTCTACCAATACACCATTGTCACAGTTTAAGATGTCATCATTTTTCATCTAACTTGTATAATTCAAGGTTGTATCTTTTACTCCAATACACCATTGTCACAGTTTAAGATGTCATCATTTTTATCTAACTTGTATAATTCAAAGTTGTATCTTTTCCTCCAATGCACCAATGTCACAAATTCCACCAAAGATAGTTCTGAGGACTCATCTTTCAAACATGTCGTCGAAATGCAACTTTCCAATGTTGGTGAAAGGGAAATTGAAAACATCAAAGCATCTTTGATTGCTTGAGAAAAGAGAGAAGGGAAATTTTAAAACTACCTTCAAGTTTCACCCAGCAATTAAACTAGTTTTCATATTTTTATCCAATTTTCCTCCTAAATAGTGATTTGTTAGATTTCGATAGTCACTCTTTCTTACAAAGATTGCTACTCATCATGTCAATATTTTTTTTTAATATCATTTTTGACAAGGATTCTAAAAGATATAGTAAGGGTGATGCTTGCAGAACATCCTGTATAATTTATACTAAATTGACAATTTATTTTTTTGCTTTCAGCTCATATTAGAATGTTTCATGGCTGTTACTGAAAACTGTAGAGTATCAAATGCCTCAACAGCTTGGGCTATGGGAAAAAGACACATATTTTTAAGGTATCATATTAACTAGATTGAATTTTTCACTTGCATGATAACTAATATGCATGATATGGTATATATAATTATTTTTCATATTTTGCAATGTTTATTAACTATATTAGGTATCGCATAAATATATGCGAGAAGAATATATGAATTAATTGTAGAAACTGTGCATCGTAAATATATGAATTAATTTCAGAAGTTATGCATAGTAAATGTTTGAATTAAATGCAAATATCACAAAAGGGTCTTTCTAAAAGTATGAATACCAGATGCAATCTCATGTTTTGAAACCATAAAACAAGTATATAGCATTCATTTTATTTCGTAACCTTCGTTGAACAACCGATCCAATTTTAGTGTTTACGATTACAACTACTAATGTTCAACTCAGTAGCCTTGTAATTTTTGGCCAAATCCAGAAGACAAGGGAACTTCTGGATCAAGTATTGGGAGAAATTTGTCTTCGTGGAAGACTTTTTGATGGACTTCACACGCAGTAGCGTTACACGGAGAGGAAAACCACAAAAACCTCCAATGGTTAGCTTGACAGCAAGGGGACTCTAACCTCTGATCTATGTACTACTGAGAATATTTTATGTCAACTCCGTGGTCGGTGCAAGTCGGGTGCGGAATTCGTATCGACCAGCCTTCGCTGGGATTCGAACCCGGTTCACCTCATTGGGAGGCAAGCGTTCTATCCACTAAGCCCCCACTACTCTTATTGCATTCATTGTCCTCGCCAAATTTTTAAATAACACTGTAACATTTCCATAATATACATTTTCTTATGACTTCAAACAGCAAACTTAAAATTGAGGCTATGTCAGTTATGTCAAAACATTCACTAATGGCCTAAAGCCTTTCACTTTTTCAGAGCTTTATATTTTAACATAATCGATATCTAATTTTTATTTCGATTAAGCTACATAATAACGATCCGATTACTGAGCAAAACTCCCTTACCGGAAATTTTTCAGCCATGCCATAGTAGACTTTATGCTAGTTGACAACGCTATATAATTTTTGTAATTCATATTTTCTCATCACATCACACAGAACACTTTTACCTCTTTGTTTCCAATACAGATTTGATGTGCGTGCATTCTTTGATTCTTCAGTCAGAATACAAATCGAACCTGAAAATCTTAGCTTTCTACTAATGGTTTTCACCCAGACAAGCCCCACTGGAGTTTTGTTGTTTGTGTCCTTTTGTAAATATAATTTTCTTCATAGTAAGAAAGGGTATACTTAGTGCTCTGCTTGAATGAAGCAGAACAATATGTCGCAAAAAATCGCAAGCAAAGACACACAAAAAAGGACATACTATAGTTTCAGTTCTATAAACAAAAGACCTTCCTCAGTGACGAAATGCATCTTGTATTTCAACACCAAGGTAGGTTCTTGTTTATTGATTCGAAACACTAGAGGATATAAATTGTTGTGCCTTTGTTAATAGTATGGGTATATCGTAATCTTTGTAGCGGAATGAGTATTTATAAATCGAATCAACTATCAATTTTAGTGAAGGAGCAAGACAGCAGCTGGAACTGCTGAGGGTGGAGAGGAGGCACAATGCAGCTGTTCTCGTCCAGGCCATGTGGAGAGGATGGAACTTTAGAAGGAAAAGATGGCCTACGCTCAAGAGAAATCTGCACATGCAAGCGAGAACACGCGTCAACAGGTAAGCTGCCAAATAATTTAAAAAACTAGCCATTCCTTTCTTTATTTCACCGACTCCTTTTCTTGATAGTGTTAAGATGTCTTAAAAGGAGTCTCTCTTCTCTACCGAACACAACTGTCAAAAAGATGGAAAATTCTAAACATACTTTTAATTCTCCATATTTAATTTTCACAAATAACCTGGCGGTGGATATTAACACCATCCGTATATTTCGATTCAGGCAAACTATAAGGCCGTCATCCAATCAGAATTTGAGATATTAAGCGTGTGGTATCTAAGATTCTCTATTAAATTACCTACAAAATCATACCCATACAATTCTACATAAATCAGTAGGACCAAATAAAAACGAGATATTGGAATCAGATATTTTTTTTTTTNTTTTTTTTTTTTGTAGACAGGTAGGTATTTTATTTATGTCACACTAGAGCTGCTCAATGGGCTATTGGCAACGGCCAGGGAAACATCCCTGAGGATGATCCGAAGACATGCCATCGCAATTTTGATCCTCTGCGGAGGTGATGCTTTGGTAGCCCGACGACTTGCGCGCGAAGTTGAGCACTTTACGGTAGAACAGCTTAACGAAGACCGTACCGTGCGCCCTCGGTCCCTTCGCAAGTTGAACGAAGTGATCACCCTTATGCTAACTGACCGCAGCCAGTGATATTTGACATAGGTGTTCTACTAGGAATCGTGCCTTAACGATCAGTCCACTGCGGGACAAGATTTTTTTTTTAATGATTGACTAATAATGAATTAAATATAATAGAAGCTAAAAATATGACTTAAATAGAAGCAAAATAAAGTCTCTAAAATGAAGTAAAGTCTCTTAACGTTTCCCATTGTTTGCAATAAATCCCTTAACCCTTTAATGCAAACTATTTATTTGAACCTAGGATGAGTATATAATCGGTATTCAAAAAATTTACTATATAAGGATAATTTTACGAAAGTTTTTTTATGACTAAGCTTTTATGTAGCTATATTCTGGATTGTTATGACTGTTGCAGGCCACGACCACAGCCAATAGCTGGTACTCCTCCACCAGACTTGGAACGATGTGACCAAAAGACGATTCAGCAGACGTGTTCACTGTTTGGTTTGGATTTGGAGAGACCACCTCCAGTTCCACCAAGTCGTTCGTATACTGTGACAGGCAATACAAAAATTGCTTATCCTCAGGCAAGGGTCATGAAAATGAATTATCCAGGTATGTAAGTTTTTAATTCGATAATGAACTCTAAGTGATACGTATTTTATCCTTTCGAATTAACTGTCTTCGTTGCATGCAATTAGTAAATTACCGCGCGTATAAATTACAAAAATTTAATGCTGGGTTTCGGGTCATAAAATTTCCTGAAATTTAAACCAGTTCTTAACATAGTTTTTTCTTTAATTTAAAATCTTGAAAATTTTAGTCTCGAGTATATACTATATTCTTAAAAATATTTTAAAATTATTAATTTTTAATTCTTAAATGAAATTTTTTTATTTTATTTCTACTTTATCTTTTTTCTTAAAAAAACCAATAAGTTTTAAGGGAACCAATTAACTGGTTCTCTTGATTCCCATGACAAACTACTTTTGAGAACAATCTAAATGCACAAATGTTCTACTGTAACTACGGACTGTCTTTCAAAAAAGAATTGATCGCAGGCTTTGTAATATTTTTTGGTTCATGCAACTTGTTGCTTTTGCTCTTATTTAAATACCCTCATTATCATAAATTAAGGATAATGCCAGCTCCAACAAATGAATAGAAGTCAGAAACAAAACAAACGTGATTTAATCATAAAACCCATTTATTAAACAAAAGAGGTGGTGGATAATATTCATGAAAACTACAACTACAATAGCTAACTGGAGCAAAAAAATATTTTTAAGGAGACATTTTAAGTTTTTTGTAAATTAGGTATTTTTTATAATTGCTCTCTGGAGTAATCAGTAAAAATATCTTCTTCTCAAAAACTTAATATTCCATGGTAGGTAAAATGGATAATTAATTGTTTGACTCCCATGCAATCAAATACAGACCTACAACGCTTAGGCATGCTGAGTATCAAATTATCGAGCTGCTCTTGGGGAAAATAATTCTACTCAGTAAGTATCCGAAATTCCGTTACGCAAAGCAGGAGGTAGTTGACTGGCTACCAAGCCTGTCTTTCGAACTCAAGTTATGAGAGAATGCTGGCCAATCCATACGGGTGATATCCTCAGGATGAAGACATTTGTTTACGATGCTTGCTCGGTGACGATAGGCGTGTCATCCATAAACACAAATTCTATGCCCATGGCACCCATAAACAAACATACATTCTTTTCCAGAATGATGTCCTGATAAATTTTGCCTCGTCATGGTTCTGAATTGAACAAACAGGTCTGTTCTAGAGTCCAGTATAATTTATCATTCCACCCCAAAAGAGCAATCATGATTCATCGTAACTGTGTTGTTCAATGATGTGGTAACGGGTACCTGACGTTCTGAATTCTGATGTGAATCAGGTTGCAAGTTAAACCTGAACTCATCGCGAGCCCACTGTGATGTCCACATTGCATGTTCTCTTCACCAGGCTGATCGCTGGCGACAGTGCAGAACACATCTGATAGGCCTACGAGCATATCAGCTACGAGCATATCAGCTACGAGCATATCAGCATTGAAACCTGTAGCTACAGATAGCTGACAAGACAGGTCGTATGCTGTACTCCGTCTGCTTCGTTTGGCAATTACTGACAAATATTGGTTTTCATTCGGCGTTGTCAATCTGTATTGCAACGTTGTCAATCTGATTGCAACGTCTACTGATATTTCCATCATCTTGGAATCATTGCCAAAGGCTAGAGATGACACTTCGGGCAATTCCAAGTTTCATCGATGCTTCCATTTGACTACAATCACAATCCAGGCGACCGATAATTTTACCTCGTAAAAAATCATGCGTCCTCTGTGTCATAACTAATCGGTTACGGCACTGAGAGGCACTCGGAACTCTTGTGAGCAATTTTACTTTGTCATCAGTCCTTTTATACACTTATTTTACACTTTCGTCATTGTGACGTACTATCGGCCTCACCTGGTGGCGATTTGCATATTATTCGTGAAAATGTGTGATAATTCTACTAGTAAAATTTTTACTTTGAAGCTCAATTGTCGTGAGAATTTGAATTATCCTTAATTTATGGACATAGTGTATATGCAGATGCAGCAAAGCATCCGAACAGCGGCCCTTTGTCAATTGGGTACTTGCATTTCGAGGAGAAGATCACGGATACCAACACATGCAACCTATGACATCAGCGCTAGTTGATCGTTTATGAGCGAAATGGCGTGTTAAATTTGAGCTAAATTTCTACACATACGTTAGAATGTTGATTAACGTAAAGTTCATTAAATACAGGCACTTCAATTTTGTTAAAATATAATTCTTTCTAGTCTGCGTCTTTTACTTTACTTAAATTTATTATTTGTTTATGTATTTATTGTAACCGTGATATATTTTTGTTTCGTGTACCTGACAACTTCGATACATAATTAGTTTGTTTGTGTTCAACATGTCTTCATTCCTGTCTTTGTGTTAATTAAGAAATATATAGTGAAAGAATTGAAATCTTTGTATAAGAATGTAGAATGTGTCACTTTATTAGAGAAGTGATACTTGACGAGCTCGGCTTACTCGAAATAGAATGGAAAAAACAATTTCTAGCTCAAACAAATTTCACGATTCAACAACCAATTAGGATTGAGATGCCCACACTACGTCACTTGCGTGCATCCCATTAAACCGTTGTTAAGTTGTGGCAGCTATTCAGAGTTATTAAAGATTTATTAACGATGTTTGTTCAAAAAGTTTCGTTACAAACAAGGAGACTTAAGAGAACGCCATACAGCGGAAGAAAATTCGTAATTTGAAATTTGAAATTTAAAGTGCAGATATTTTGAAGTATTTTTTCAGCAATCGAAACTTTATGACATAATCTAGGTTTGCATGAAGTTGCTTTTTCTTTCTTTTAAATTTTAAATTAATAATGAAGGAGAAAGAATTTGCGACGAAAATTTTCTTCCGCGATATGGCGTACTTTTAAAACAGGGGTGTCAAACTCAAAAGCCAACTTGGGCCAAATAAACAATGCTTAACTATACGTGGGCCGTAAAGAAAAAAAATTTGTGTTCATGGAAACAAATATTTTTATTTTGAATAGTACATTGTAATAAACATGTATAAATTAAAATAATTTTTTTATATTTGACATCTCTTCTCTGCTACTATCTCTTTCCTATTTCGGGAGAAATTTTACTGACCGAGACTACTTTCAAAATTGACCCAACGTGAGCGTTATTAATACGGTTTCGGACAGGAGATTTATTTCCATTCATAACCGAAAATAATTGCTTGCATTGATAAGTACTTCCAAACCTTGCCATAAGTATTTGCAAAATTTAGACACATCCACTTCAATGAATTTTGTCTTCAAATTTGAGTACCACTGAATCTCAATCACTTCCATTTGCATATTACTGAGTCTATATTTATTTAGAAAATCTAAGAAAGCAAACAAAATTTGTCTTCCAAAGAATTAAAATCTTTAAACTTTGTTTCAAATTCTGTTCTAAGATTTGAAATTTTTTCTGCATATTTTTGATACGATGCAGTATCGATGGAATGGCAGGTGCCGCAAGCCAATTAGAATTGTACATTTTCGTGAGTACAATTTAAAATTATCGTTTATAAATAAAGTATATTATAATTTTATATGCTAGTTTCCTTTCTAATTCATATTTCTATTTTATTTTTACTTTGCGTTGGATATATTGAATGGGCCGCAAAAATGTTCATCTCGGGCAGCATGCGGCCCGCTGGCCGCGAGTTTGACACCGCTGTCTTAAATGTATAGTTAATTTAATAACGAAGTATAGAAATCTAGTGATGAGCGGTGGTATTAAAAGAGGTTTGATAGCATTCATTTATAGGATTTCAAAGTTTTGCAATCAAGTAATTCGGCTCGCAATAAATTTTTTGGTTCTTTACTTGGATCTTTTCAGTTAAAACCATAACTATGGCAAAAAATTACAAAACTTTTTCTAAAGCCTCGCAGAAATTATACAAAATATTCTCAGTCCTACAAGTTGAGAAGCGGAAAATATATTGACGTTTGCTTAAGTAACAAGGTATAAGAAGGTGAAAGAGATAAAGATTTTATTTGTTGGAGCAAACTAGAATATTTGTTTAATTGTTTTTAAATAAATAATGAGAATTTTAATGCAATGTTTCAGCGAAAAAAATATATATCGTTCGTGTGAAATAAGAAAGACTTCAAAGCAAATTATGAAAGTAAAACTTTGAGCTTATTTATTTGAAGCAATAATTACATTTGAAAGTAAAAAAAAACTGCAGCATTTGGTTGAAATATAAATGAAAATTATGTGGCATGTTTTTTGAGAGTGGTAGTTAAATTAGTTATGCTTTTTTCTTTATATTTGCAGAAGATAACAGTTCAGAGGTGACACTTCTAAAAGGCGAAACCGTCATGGTTGTGAGAGCATCTGCAAGACGGGGCCACCTTGTGGTTGAACATAAAAACCACACTATTCATGTTCCCTATCAATTTCTGGAGCTCAAACCTTCGGAGGGAGTCAACATATAAACTTCCTCCAATTACTACTTCATCAACATGTTCTTCACTATCTCCTACACCTAGAATGTCTCAATGGATAATAATAACTCGTTGCAACAGAGAGAGCATTTTTTTCCCCTGGTAGTTTTCAATATTACTTAACATTGCGCCATGCGCATAACATTTTTAAAAAAAATGCCTCGAATTCTCCACCTCTCAGGAAATTGAATTAAAAAAGTATTTGAAAACTCTAGGCTGTGAACAGGCACTTATTTCCAGTTTGTGACCCTCTTACCATTTGCAAAGCAAAATCACTCTCAAATTTCCGAAGTTCTAAAATCCACTCAAACCGCATTAGCACGTTGAATACCATGGGGGGTGACCGGCACTGAGTTTGTTTATAGCACCACGGGAGTGACCGATGAAGCCAAGATTATAACAAACACATAATTCGAGTAAATTTTTAATTTTTTTTATATTATTATTGTTGTTAAAATAGTTTGAAGAAATTATAGATCACACAAAAATAGATTTATTTATATACACAGAGATGCCAACTTGCTTCGGACAGCGAATAAAATATTTTCAAGTGGTAGTTTATTAATTGTGATTCTTGGTTTAATAAATTCAATTTAGTAGATTTTTATCCACCACTATTTCTAAACAATTCGTAGACTTATATAATTCACCACTTCTTCCAGATATCTCATGCTAAACCTTTTTAAATAAGTAGCAAAATCTGTCTAATATTTGCAAATTTAATTTGTAATTATTTACCATTTGGCTATACGGGCAAGCCATGTAAAATTAGCGGGGCATTCAACGTGTTAACCATCTGGATAGAGGGTAATTCTCCAAGACTCCTGTCCTTCAGGAGCGTTTCTCTTGGTTATCCGAGGACTGAGAGTGATTAATGCAGCCCAGAACGCGTGGCAAATAGTATTTGAATCTCAAAACCTCAAAAGAGGTGAAATTCATATTTATTATTGCTGTTCAGTTTCACTTTCGAATCAACTGAAAACGTTTAATTTAAGGTATAGTGCTATTTAGTAGGTGGAAAGTATTGAGATTTGCAATTCAATTTTTCTCCATAAAAAATTATCTTTTGAGCAAATTTGAAATTTCGCTAAACAACGTGCGTTAAAAATTTATTTGGAAAACAATGTGTGTTATCAATACAACGGATAAGAGTTGGCAGATTTATGTCCCCTCAGACTGCAGAAAACCTTACATTTCAATTTATTTTCTGAGTATTTTAATCAGATATTAGATTACAACATAGGGGTTGTTGGTGCTTACTAATCTTAATTTATAGTTAATATTTATTTTTAATGTTTATTTTAAACTTAATGCTTGTCTGGGAAATGAGCTAGGTCATAAGGTCATAGAGCATCTCTATGGATGCTTACTTTATTATGGCGACCCACTTTTTTTCTCCCCCAGTTTCGAAATGCATTTCATTTATTGCCCTTGAACTAAATGTAAATAAATAAATAAGTTTAGTTTTTGCTACCACCGTTCAAATGCGTCAGTCAATTATGTTTTGTTTTCCTTTGTAAAGTTTCCACAAAAAAAAAAATATTTTGTTTTGATGCTTTTATTTGATCCCTGACTGTCCGAGATTACTTCAAAAAATTTATTTAATCAGCTTCATGGTCAGTTGAACTCATCGAGCTCAAGTAAACAATCATTCACGATTGGCGATGTTTTTTTCTGACCACTGGAGGTAAATAATTACAAAAAATTTCGTTGAGACATACTAGGTGTGGGCAATAGAAACACGTCATACAATCTCAGGGTTTCATCATCATATCTTAGAGTGTCTGGTTACACACGTGTTTCGTAAAACAATTCTATGTGCATCAAATGGGTGTTGTTTGGTGATGCGTCCATGTATAAACACTTCGTTACAAGTACAAATGAATGTGTGGAAGAAGACAATGACTAGAGCAACTGACGATTCCAAAACATCAGTCTCAAAATTATGAACAAACAAATTCCTATTTTTAGTTCTCAGGAAATATATTTGTATTATTAATATTGTAAAATTTGAAAAAGTGGACATTGATAGTATGGGGCTATTTAAATATTGCTCAAGTATTGCAGATTCTGGTTTCCTTTATGAGCAAAAAAAAAAAAAAAAAGCAAATTGTTAAACCCTTGTGCTTATGTAAAATTAATAACGTAATTACGTAAGACCATACTTACGTTCAAATAATTATTTCCCCCAAAATGTAGTTATCTTTTCTATTTTTAAGGGAATTTTTTTTCTGATAAAGGAAATCTAGTATCTTACATCTAGTAAGTCACTAAGCATAAATATATATAAGTATAGACCATGTATAAGACAGTTAACTGAACTTGTAAGCATTACCCTTGTCGACAAATTTCCTTACACATTAGATGCTTGCACAATATTCTAATGGTCCCTGTGTAAAAAGTGTAAAAAAAAAAGGATTCTTTTTTGTTAATTACTTGCATGTGCGAAGCAATGTTTTCAAAAAATCTCGTAAAACATTACTGCTGGATTATTAAAAGTTAATAAAATTAAAATTTTATAGTCTAATAAAATAAATCCGTGAATTAAATATATATATTNATTTCCTTACACATTAGATGCTTGCACAATATTCTAATGGTCCCTGTGTAAAAAGTGTAAAAAAAAAGGATTCTTTTTTGTTAATTACTTGCATGTGCGAAGAAATGTTTTCAAAAAATCTCTTAAAGCATTACTGCAGGATTATTAAAGTTAATAAAATAAATCCGTGAATTATATATATAAAAATTTAATTTAATGCTTTTTAATTTAATTTATCTGGCTTTATATTTTTCTACAATGAGTTGTAATCAAATTCATACAGAAGAAAACAAATCCATCTTAAATACAATATTTAATTCTGTTTGTATATAAAAATATGCTTATTCTTCCATTATATGTCTAATTGCTTTCTATATTTAACAAGGTTGTTTTTGAAGTTCCTTACATACCCTCCAACTACTACTATGGAATTTCCGTAGTCTCGAGAAGTATTTTTCCTAGGGGTAGAAGAGGCTATGCTTCATAATTTTAATAAATTAAGATTAAAAGAATTTTGTCCACCACTACATATTTTCAATTCAAACACTTATATGAAATATCGGGTTGGTAAATGTTTACATAAGGAAATTCAATAAAAAATTTATGAAAGCTCTGCTTTTTTAAAAAATTTCAACTTTAGTCCACTACTACTAGAAATATTTTACTTCAAAGGTTGAAGGCGATTGACTTTTTACAAGGAATATAAGAAAAAGAAAGTTTCTGTGTCAAACTCAAGAAGATTTTTTTAATTTTATACTATTTTGTTGAAAAGAATTTATTGGATTTTTTCGGAATGTCATTTCAAATACCTAAAAATATTTTATAACCTTTTTAAAATTCGTCAAAATTACAGTCTCTCAAAATCACGTAATTTTATTCACTTAAAGTTTTGAGGAAAAATTCATAGAAGTTCTAAAAATTATATCAAGTTATATTTATCTTAATGTAATAAAAACGATACCTTCATTTTCTAGCTTTTTTGAAAGATATTGTGCTGTTTAATAATACTGTGTCGCTAAAAGTTAAAATAAAAAACAAAAAAATATATATATAAATAAAAAATTTAACCTAATATCCAAGATGACAAGTTTGCGTGAATTATTATCAGTTTCAATTTTCTATCACTTTAAAAAAAATTTAATATCATGTCAACAATTCATTTCCACAATTTTTTTGCATATTTTTATAAGCAATTCAAAGATAAAGTAACTGTTTAAATATTTAAAAATATATATACATCACAAATACTTTTTATTTTTATGGAATGGTAGCTTTTTTTTAATTGAAATTTTTCGCCGTTTTCATTATTAGTCTATGACAGACTAATAAAGCTTAATGTAAGAGTTATGAATAACTGTTGAGAATTCACAATAGTTGTAAAAATGGCACATTGGATAAAAAGCCTAAAACAAAAGAGCTTTCAGAAAACAGCCTTAAACAATTTGCCGCTATTTTTGTATTATATTATAAAAATTATATTTTTCTACCTCAGAATATGAAGGAACATATTTGTAAAGTTCTAATGTATTCCGAGCAGTAGCCTTGGTGTTTTATGTGTGTGTGTACAGTTGAAACATTGTAAATATCTTCTTAAAAATTTGCACTTATTATGATTTTCAAAGCTTTTCAACAAAGCAATAACAAATTATTCATTTTATTTCCTGTTATGAGAAGATAAAAATTATCTTTTTATTGTATTCAATTCAAATAAAATTTGTGTGCTTTATTTTAAATAGAAATGTAATTCTCCAAAAATTTTCGTAAATATTTGCAATTATTATGAATATCAACAAAGGATTAATAAATTCTACATTTTATTCTCTAAGAAAGATGGAATCTCCTTATTGTATCAAATTCAGTTAGAATTAAGGTAATGTGTATGAAATATAACTCATTTTTGTAAAAATTTGCACTTATTATAAGTTCCAGTAAAGCATAATAATCTAAAAAAATTAAAAAAGGGGGGGATAAAACAAGGGTGCGAAAGAGATAATTGCATAGGGGACTCAAGAGGTTCCAAATATGATTTAAAAATAAAAGAACATCTATTTCTATTTAGAAAACTTTTCTTTTAAGAAAGGAAACCTAAAGTTGTAATTTCAGATTCAATTTTAAAATATCATAGATGTTTCTGTTTAAGAATCGCAAATTTCTAACTTTCACGTTCGACATATAAATTTTTCGACAAGAGTTTTCTTTAACTTTTTGGCACAGAATTTTTGTTAAACATATTTTTCACAATTTTTTCCTTATTTTATGTGAATTTTGTTCAAATTGCGCGAAAAATATTACATTTAGTATTTTAATGTTGTTGGTGTCGTCGGCCATTACGGCAGAGGGGGTGCGATTGTTCTTGTTTTCAAGTGGCGCCATCTATGGCCGAGCATTCGACTTTTGTCTATTCCTGTTTATAATGCGGACCCATTCATTCATGCACAGATCGCAATTTTGACCTGAACTAGAGAACGATCAGTCTTTATTGCAGTACCTCCAGAGGTATCGATTTGGAGGACTTTGTGACCCGACAGATTTAACGTGCATCAGTCATCATTTACTACACTAGGAGATTGATGAAGAGATAAATTTAAATCGATTTAGTTTATTGAAAAAGTTCTTGTTACTTCAGAAGTTGAATTTCTGGGACTAAACAATGTCTTCAAGAGATGTTTGAAGAGAAGTCACTGCAAGTCTCAACAATAAGTAAAGGTATTAGGAAAGAGTTAGTAGGACATTGTTTCCATTTGTGTTGACTTACTTTTACAAGTCTTAATTTGTGCTGAGAACTACAAAAATATATTTATTGGGAAATCAACCTACGTGTTGTCTTTGAGAGAGCAGCTCCGTATATCCAAGATTTAGCGAAGAAAAAACAATCCCAGGCAATACTTAACAGTATTGAAATTTAAAATTTGGAAACTAAGTTCAATTGATTGGATGCAATGATTAGAAGAGAGCCGCGATGGCTAAAAATGTGAAGCATTCAATTTCCAATGAAGTAAACCGGGTTCGAATGCCGGCGATGGTTGATCGATACGAATCCGCGTCCGGCTTGCACCAACCACAGTGCAAACGAGAAATATCCTTAGTGGTAAACGGATCAATTTGAGACTGGTTGATTTTAGAGTCGATTTGCCGTCAGGCTAACCGTGAGAGGTTCTCGCGGTCTTCCTCTCCATGTAACGCAAAGGCGGGTTAATTCCATCAAAAAGTCCTCCACGAAAGCAAAATTTCTACCAATACTTGATCCAGGAGTTCCCTTGTCTTCTGGATTGGGTTCAAAATTACAAGGCTACGGAGTAGAACATTAGTAGTCGTAAACCCAAAAATTGGGTCGGCTGTTCAACGACGGTTATAAAATAAAATGAGTAGAAGTAAACGAAACACATTAATTAGTGATTAAATAAATAAATAAATAGCGATCATATTCTAATCTCGATAGTTTAGCACATAGCGATAAAATCACGTTCTTTTTAGGTCTGTAAAGGATTTTTTAAAATATCATCTGCACAAATTAATTAACATATTTAAAGTTAGAACTTCGAACTAATAAGATTACATTTTAGTACGTAAAAATCCTATAACTAAATCAAAAGTTTCCAAAGTGCACAAACTTGAACTACCACTTCTTTCATTTTTGAAAAAAAAAAAAGAACACAAAAAAGTTGCAAAGATTAAAAGTGCGCAAGTATGATATTAGAATCAATGACGATATGTTTTGCGCATGTTTCACTGACAATCAGTATAAAAACAGGGTTTAAAAGAGTGATAAAATCTTAATACAAATAAATAAAATAAGCTCAATTTCTATTGCTTACTCATTTAAGATATTTATTGTGGTCCTACTGCGGAATAGTGTCATGTTGTTCAATAATAAAACAATAATTTTTATTATTACAAACAATAAAATGATTTTATTGCCGACTCTTTTGACAATTCACAAGTTCAATTCAGATACAAGCATAAGAACATAAGTTATGTATAGTACAGTAAAATAGTTTCTAAAGCTCAATCCATTACAGTTACAGCCAAACACAATTAATATTATTTAGACTGAATTTATTGATATGTTATACAGATATTTATTAATTTAGTAAATGCTTGTAATGACTACATTTTCATTAATTTGTATGCAATACTATGATTCCTATAGATTACAGTATAGAATTGGTAATATTAAATCTATATTGTATTCTATAGACTTACTATTTTTAATTCATAAAATTTCATATTTTTTCGTTTAAATTTAATAACACAAAATCGAATAGATAAATAAAAATAACCAATTACACTTGAGGGAAAAAAGTTAAAGAAAATAAGCTAGCTAAATAGTTAAATAACTTAATGGAAGAATATGCTATAACCAGATGTAAATACTAGGGTTCCGTAATTACTACCCTTTAAACATTAGGGATAACAAATTAATATTTATAAGAGGAAAAAAAAATCTTTTCATAAAGATCAAGAAAATAATTTTTAAGGGTGACGAGATTAAAAACATCGAAACCAGTTTTACTGGTAGATGACAAAACAACGACTTCTATGTTTTTTCTGGCAATTAAACCAGTTTTGGCAGATTTGTTTCCTTCTTTGTAAATAATTTTAAGGATTTTAATAATGTTTTTCTATTTTTTCTAGTTTAAATATTGATTTGCAGTCCCTAATGTAATTGAATTTGTTATTTGAAAAAAAAAACAAAAAATTATAAAAGTAAATATTAAGGGCAGTTGAGGCGAAACACCTTGCATTTTCGTGTCATGCCATTCAAGAAAAAAAGTTTTGAATGGATTGGGAGTTAGGTAAACATTTAGATTTTCTAAAGCTGTTGTTTCTCAATTAACCAAAATGTCCCATTAAACTTTCTTCCACTAAGCTTTACAAATCCTCCAATTTTCGAAAAAATTTTATTCAATTGTATAAATAAATATAAACATGATGTTTTATTGAACAAAAGGTAAAATTGTTAAAAGCAATTTGAAATAATCAATTCCAAGGATAGAAATCAAAGAAAAATCTGTATTAAAAATTAGCTACATTAAAAACATAATTCATTTTTATCTTTTATCTGAGAAACTTTTATCTGAATTGTTCTTAACTAACGTCTCTAGTCATTTTTTTTTCTCTTTTAAACTTCTTTCAACACACTAAGTCCGTTGTGAAAAAACTATTTACAAGCAAAGAGACTTTGTTTATATTTTTATATACAAATTACATGAGTACATTACATATGAAAAATATACACTAAAAATAACATATTCACTGAAGCTTTTCAAATGGTCATTCCATTCTCATTACATGTAAAGGGGAAAAAAAATTTATTACATACAAACATTTTTTTTCTGCATTTAATTTTAAAGTATACATAAATATTCGATCGTTTAATCTTCCATTTTAAAGCAAGCAAAAACTTTACTTAGTTATTTTAGTTTAAAACAAATAAAAATTTTTAATTTTTTTCTTTTAATTTTTCATTATTTTGCGCTCAAAAAAAATTTTCTTTGTTTTTTCAGTTTAAAGCAAATGAAAATTCAATTTTTAATTAAAAAGCATACCTAAAATCTTTTTGCATTTTAACTACAGAGTACAGAACATACAAAAAAAAAGCTTATCTTTTAATTTTTGTTTCAAGATGTTTGTCTTTTAATTTTTTCATTTAATAATAGAAAAATATTACCCATTGATCTACTTGATTTTGTATTTATATAAAATACCAGCAACTAAAATATTTTTAATAAAATTTCAATAGTAATAATTTTTTTTGTCACACATTTTTGATCTAAAACTTTTAAATAAAAAAAAAATATGCCAATTCAAAAATTATAAATTCAAAGTAAGTTATCTAAAATTTATTCAATAATCAACAATTTGATATGTAGCACACCTACTGACTAAAATAAAAACATAGATTTCGTTTTCTAGCAAAATATTCAAAAGATTTTACAAACATGGTAAGCATGATATGATACAAATATATTAGCATAGACTCTTATAAAATATTTCTCATACATAACAAATAAAATCTATGAGAGTATTGCAAATGTAAAATTCAAGCCGAAAAGCACTAATATATTTTTTATTTTATCAAACTAAATAATTTTTTAACATCTTTGCACTTTAGTTTAACAGAAATTGACTGCAAACGAAATAAAATTAGAAACTATAGATTTATACAATGGTTGTTTAATATTTTGCGTAATTAATAAATCACATCTTCTTCTCTTTCTTTCATAAATTGCACGCAATAAATTAAAGAGCATTTTGAGATTCAGTCTCAACAAATTTAAAGACATTTTCATGATGAAAAATTAATTTTATTAGAGATAATTTGTATAATAACATGTATTGAACAACTCATATTGGTACAAGATTCATTTGCTTTGGATAAAAAAAATTTCATACAATTTGTATCAAATAAATTTGTAATTTTCTTTTATTTATCTTTTAAATCAACAACCGACTAGAACAGAAAACAAAGGCGAAAAAGTTACTTCTCAATTTGATATTAATATGGAATTCAAATCCCTTTTAAACAAATTAATGTACAATAATATCCTTGAAATACAATGATTTAAACTCTGCTTTGAAATTGATTCCGGTTATAAACAACATATCAACCTACACAGCAAAACAAAAACAAAAAATTGTATTTATATAATTCTTTCAAAATAAAAATCTTTAGTATACAATTTTTAGTCACATTAAATTGCACTTCTTTTAATACATAACAAATTTAAAGCTGTCTTGTACAATTAAAAAAAAAAAAAGCAAAATACACACAACACAATTTTTATATTAATTTCTCAATAACCTAACAGCACATTTACAACAGCCTTACGCAATAGTTCATTATCTTTTAAACTTGTACAATCTTTGGCGTTGATTAGTATATGGAACACACAATATTTTTACTTTCTTTAACGAGATTTAGAGATGGCAAATGATAATTAAAATCAATTTAGCTCCATTAATAAAAATTAGACCAAAAAATTACAAACGTATGGGCCTGTGAGTGCAATTTTTGAGCCAATTCTAAAAATAGGTAAATTTACCAGTCTAAAAAATTAACAATCCTTATTTTCACGAAAGTTATGTATTAAAAGCAACTATTATTATTACTATTAAAGAATCCATTATTTTCATATCAGATAAAAAAAAGAGACCTCCGTAGCAAAATCAATGAGTGCCATGAAGATTTCTTTTACTGAAGTGAAAATAACTTCCATAATTGAGGTTCCATCGTTCAAAACATATATTTTTGTAGGTCTTAACAGAATTTGTCAAATAAATCTGTAACAGAAGTTATTTGCATCCAAAGAGAAAAAAACACTTGGGACGCACAAACTTATCGAGTTTTGTAATTGGCTTCAAGACAAAATTATGTCTCAATAATAATAATCAATTGTAAATTAGCTAATACTAATATTCAAGATCTCATTGCATTTTGACAAAGAATATCTATTAAAAGAATCAAAATTATTTAACAAGAATTACAATCAGCCATTCATAATTTCGTTTCAAAATGAATACCATCAGATGGATGATTATGATAGTTAAGTCGTGAATCATCATTTGCTACTGCTTATAATTAAGACATCATTTTCGCCTTGAAGATTGGATATTGTAGTTAGGTCCTAATGCAATAACCATCTAGTAAAGCGTCCGTTAGTATTTTCGAATTGTAATTACCTAATTATTTTATTATTTGTATCTTACTTTAAAAATTAAATTTGGGAATAGAAACCAAATGGGGGTAAGAGATTATCTATTTTTCAGAATTACTACGAACAGCAATAAATGGCAACAAAATGCACGCACAGGCCAGACAATTGTTGAAGTGTTCTTAAAATGAACGAAAGCAAACTCAACATCCTGACTTCTCATTTGACACAATGACTTGAAAGTGATAGGGAAAAAAAAAACAGTCTTTGAAGTAACTAAATTATTCATTATCATACATGGGCCAAAATCCTCACTTCACCAGCAGATGCCGATGTATTTCCCAAGTCAGGCACCTCCCTGCCTGGTACTGACAGTATCACTGTGTCCCTGTTGAGCACCTGGGACGAGTCAGTAGTCTGGACGATGGTCACTGCATTGATGTCGTGGTGGTGAGGTTTCCAGCCACGACCCCAAGTGGAGGATAGACCTGTAGATGGAGGACTGTCATCACTAAGGCCGGCCACAACAGAGTTCTGTGACTCGCCACTAGGACTTGTGAAGTGTACCGGATCCTGCTGGTTGGCAGGCCTCGAATGACCAGAGTCTAGGAAGAGTGATTCGTGAGACAGGAAGCTGAGACTCAGCGAAGGATTGCGACTGTGACTAGTTGTGAGGACAGTTGGCTGAGGTTGTTGCAGAGGCTGCGTAGATACAGAGCATAGAGTCTCAGTACTCGGCCTCAGTACTCCCGCAGAGCTTGCCCGGGAACGGTAACTGGGTGGCCTACTGTATTCCCTCTCAGTGAGCGCAAGGGGAGGCCTGTAAAAATAATTTTCATTGTAAACTCAAGTATTTTTGCATCAAGTATTTTTGCAACGCAAACAGCATACAATTAAAAAAAAAAAAAAAAAACAAGTTTTAAAAAAATTTAGGGAATGTAAACCCTTTAAAATACATTTTAATGAAGCGAAGTAGATACAAGTGAGCGAAAAATATGACAAACTGAATAACGTTTTATCTAATGGTTGGATTTTCATATACCAAGACTCAATATTAATGGTTTGAGGACATAACTTTAAATATATAAAATAAACAAGGCAGGCGAAATTTTAAATTAGGAAAATAGACTCTAAAACGTTCTTTTTCTGACTACCCCCCCCCCTCC